GATTTCAAGAAGGGATTTACTGTTGATTCCAACATAACATATTTGATGAACACATATATCCAGACTGAAAGCTCCTAGTTTTCTTATTTCCTTTTTATTGAATGCATTGGGATGACACTGGTTAACATAATTATACAGGTTCCAGGTGCGCAGTTTTACAGCACATCATCTGTACACTGCGTTGTGTTCATGGCCCCAAGTCAAGACTCTTTCCATCACCTTTTATCCCTCCTATGCCCTCCTCCACCTCCCCCAACCCCCTAAGTTTCTTAATGTGACTGGCAGTATAGTCTCAACGCAAGGAACACATGTTCTAAAGTTACTTAATGTCTTCTAGGTCTGTTGATTTTAGAATTACAAATCTTGGCAAAATCTATGATACTGTATTTAAATGGCATAAGCTTCGCTGTTGTGGATCATTCATTGGAGCCCAGCAGAATGACTGAGTTGGCTTACAGTATAATAAAATGAAAGGCACTCTTGTCCAGCTGCTTTTGAGGAAGCTGAAACAATGAAGCCGCCTGGTGGTGCCTTGACTCAGATTCAGATTTGGTGGGTGCATCTTGATGTGCTGCTGCAAGAGCTAAATGTGACCATCTGATGCAGGGGAAAGTGCCAAATGGTTCTTCTGCCGTAGAAATAGAATATAATGTAATTCCAGCCTTGGGCTTTCTGCAACATTTTTATTGAGATGTATGAGTGGGAACCCAAATAAACCCGGAATTTACTTATAAAAAAATGTGTATTCTTACATTTTAAACTTCAGTTCCAAAGCACTCTCCGTTTTAATACGCCTATCAAGACTTTTTTCCGCTGCTCAGAGCAGTTCTTGAACTCTTCGATTTGGATGCCTTTTGGTGCATCTGCTGTTTTTTGTTTCACCTCTTCCACATTGGCAAAATGTTTCCCTTTGAGGACTTTTTTCATCCAGGGAAACAAAAAAAAAGTTGCTCAGGTGAGGGTGGGGCACAGGGGTGATACCATTTTTGGTCAAAAACTGCTGAACACTCAGCACAATGTGGGCGAGTGCACTTGTAAATCACCCATAATGAAATGGGCAAACACGTTGAAAGAATCTTAAAAAAAAAGTCACTGAAGCCAAACGTAGCCTCCCCCAACGATGCCAGCTGGTACACCCATACAGATCAGTTCCTTTAACACTCACCTAGCAGGGGAAGTCTGTACTACTAGGCATTTGCCCTCCAGAGACAATTCCAGTTTTTTGGGGGTCCCCCATCATAATTCACATACCATAAAACCCATCATGGTTTTTAGTGTATTCACAGTTCTGCAACCGTCACCAATACCTGGTTCCAGAACATTTTCATCATCCTCAAAAATAATCTCTTACATTTCAGCAATCACTTCCCACCCATTCCCCTCTCCTATTAGCCATGGCAACCACTAATACACTTTCTGTCTCTGTAGGTATGCCAATTCTGGACATTTTATATAAATGAAATCATATTCCTAGTGTAGCATTACATAGTAATAATTATAAAATAAGATAAAATGCATAGGCCATAAATAAATGATTAAGTAGATAAATGATTATACAAAATATATAATTTTTTTATTTTGAAAACCTGCATTTTTACTTGACTGAATTATTAAGTTTGAAAATAGACACCTTCAAAGGCCAAGAGAATACCTTTTGGAGAATGCTCTGTAAGCTGGTTCCTAACATCCTCAAACTGAGAAATTATAATCATTTCTCTTAACTAAAATTAAGAGATAATTAGTTTCTATGACCATTAAATGTTTCAACAAGGGTGTCATTTTAACTCCTTCGGAGTAAAAACAATATCCTAGAACTTAAAAAGTGGCAATTATGTATGTAAATTTAAATGGTGGGAAGTAATTTTATTCTTTAGGCAGTGTTGATTTTTCTGTTAACTTATTAAAAATATGTGGAGGGGGGTTGCTCAAATAAAAACTTTAAAAGAAAAAAATGAATACAACATATGGCTGTGATGTTAGTTTTATGCTAGCTTTTGGAATTTTTTTAATTTACTGATTTTACAGATAGAAGAAAAGGAAAAGAGGGAGAGAGAGAAACATCAATTTGTTATTCCACTTATTTATGCATCCATTGGTTGGTTGTTGTATGTGCCCTGACCAGAAATTGAACCTGCATTGCACTTTGGCACATCAGAACCACAGAAGCTCTGACCAGGGCAGGAATTCTTTTCTGAGTGAATCTGAGTTCCTGAACACCCCCACCTTGTTTATTTCTTGTGCTCTGCGTTTCCTGTATTTATATTCCTAGTTCATGATTCCTAAAGTGCAGTACATGTAGCCTGGCTCTACCATGATTTTAGATGATGCTCCAATACTTTTTATTCTAATATTTTTTTTAATAGTTACATATTTTGATATGATTTGGAAAAATATAACTGGCTTTCTAAGCTAGTCATTTCATAGATATCATTACTGGAGGTAAAGCTGTAATATAAGTCCTGACCCAGTGGTGTTAGGTCTATGAATTTTCTTTATCTTTTTAAAAAGATTTTATTTATTTTTGGAGAGAGAAAGGGAGGGAAAAAGAGAGGAAGAGAGACATTAATATGAGAGAGAAGCATTTATTGGCTGTCTCTTGCATGCACCTGACCTGGACTGAACTCACAACCCAGGCACATGCCTTAACCTGGAATCCAATCGGTGACCCGTTTTGCTTTGCAGGATGATGGTGATGATGCTCAGCCAACTGAGCCACACTCCTCAGGGCAGGTCTATGAATTTTCTTAAAATTAATAAATAATAATACAGCTGGTATACTAAAAGGAGAAAAATCGTGAAAGTAGTATGTGAATGACTGAAGCTTGGTAAACACTGTGTTAAGTTGTGCCTATTGACATGGTTACTTTCCCTTTGGGTGCCTGTATTCAGCAAAGAGTAGCTTTTCTACTAGTCATAATCCCACTACCTATCTCTTAAAGTCCCGGGTTAGGAAGAAAGGTGTCTATCCTGAAATCAAATTAGGAAGTGCTTATTGTTTAATATGTAGTTAACAGACCAATCCTATTTTAACTAATTAACACTAATGTGTATATTGGCATTTTTCTGTGGGAAACACACTTTCATTTGACAGGTGAATCTATGAACTGTATAGTTGGCAGGGACAGGAAAGCCTTAAGTATTGGCAAGAAAAATCTATTCTTCCTCTTCTCCCATTGAAGTAAGTGTGTGCACCTCTGCTTATAAATCTGTATGTGTCTTATGCAACTTGATTCATACTTATGGTGGCCCTTCCATTATGAAAATGTGACCTTCTTGTCTATGTTTGAGGTTCTTGTAAACCAGGACAATCTTATATACCTAGTTAGGTAAGCAGTATGCTCCTTCTCTTCGGTCTTCCTTTACCTCTCCTTTTCTCCTTTAAGTATTGGGCCCCAATCCAGTATGGGAAGGGTCTGCAACTAAATTTACAATGATGGACTTTTTTTAAAAAAGGGATTTCATTATGACTTAGCCAAGAGGACTGGGAAAGAACTCTGGATGCTCTCCTGGGATTTCTCTCTGTCAGGGATGTGTCAGTTCTCAGCATTGTTATCACGCAGGATTTTCAGGTTGGTTAGGGCCTGCTTCCTTGGCTAGTTGCTTCCTTGGTAGACTGAACTAGCTGGAACTTCCAGCCCGTTTCAAGATGCCTTGTATTTGGCAGCTGTATGGTGAGCATGGATCCTTTGCCTTCCTCCAAGAACTTCATATACATTTTGGGAATCACTTTTTGGTTCCTAAATAGCCTATTTTTCTTCTCAGAGGTTAGTGTTTCTTTTTTAACTAGTATAGCAATATGTTAAAAGAATAAAAAAGTCACCTGTTTAATAAGACAAAAGAGGGAGGACACTTTAAAAATCTTTATTCCTAGCCCATAATTTAATGTTGGATGGTCCTGGAGATGAATCATCTCAGTCTGAGTTAGTAGCTCTGTTTATCATACTTATTAAATGATAGTTACTTACAAAATGGAAATGTTTTTCTTTTCATAGTTCAAATGAACAGTATTCTAGTGTTAGTCATTTCCCAATGTGGCTACATAAAAACTGAAGCCCAGAGAAATACCATCTGTGCCACGATAATATTAGTACTTTTTGGGTGGTCAGAGTAAAATCTCAGTGTTTCATGTTGTAAGCAAAATAACCTATGTAGCCATGAGTCCCTACTAGAAAATGAGCTGGGGTAGGGTGCTCAGTAAAGAACATAGTTTGATTTTTTTAAAAAAAGATTTTATTTATTTATTTTTAGCCAGAGGGGCAGGAAAGGAGAAAGAGAGGGAGAAAAACACTGACATGCAAGAGAAATGTCAATTGGTTGCCCCTCGCAAGCCCCCAACCTGGCCTGCAAACCAGGTCTGTGCCCTGACTGGGGACTGGACCAGTGACCTTTCGATTGCCAGGACAACACTCAGCCTGCTGAGCCACACCAGTCAGGGTGAAGGCTGATTTTTAAATCAGAATATTAAATCAATATGTTCTAAGTGGTGATTTCTTTTTTAACCCCCAGTCCAGGTACCTTTTTGGAATAATAGCCTGAAAATAGTGTTTCTCTAAATTTTTTTAAAAGATTTTACTTATTTATTTTAGGGAGGGTAAGAGAGGGAAACCTCAATGTGTAGTTGCCTCTCCCATGCCCCCTACTGGGGACCTGGCCCACAATTCAGGCATTTGCCCTGACTGGGAATCGAACCAGTGACACTTGGGTTCACAGGTTGGCACTCAATCCACTGAGCCACACCAGCCAGGGCTGATTTTTTCATTTATGCATTATTTGGGATGTTACAGAGAAACTGTACCTAAAAAGTCATTCATAATCATATTTAGCCTGAAATTTCATGGCTAATCTTTTATGTGGGTTATATTCAGAATAGTGTTTTCAGTTGACGTTTAAACCTCTCTGTTGCCTGGCACAGCGCATACACTAATAGACAATATATTTTTTGAAGTTGGATTGTTTATAACTTTTACTGTTTGTTTTTTTTTTGTTTGTTTATTTTTTAGAAAAGGTATAGTTTGGCAGTGGGTCCACCCAAAAAAGACCCAAAAGTTAAGGGTGTCCAATCAGCAGCCGTACAAGCTTTTCTCAGAAGAAAAGAAGAGGAACTCAGACGAAAAGGTATGTGATCTATAGCCTTACTCGCAATTTTAACGTCTTCCACCTTCACAGCCAGCTTGTACTTAACCAGTGGATGTTTGTAATAATGTAACAGGCTAATGGATTTGTTGCATATGTGTATGAGTCAACTGTGTTTATAGCACTACCTATGTTATGTTGATCATTTGTATGAATGTTATCTTTCATTTCTTCTTAAATAAAAGCTTTTGGGGAATAGTGACCATATCTTCTAATTGGCCATAATAACCCCAAGAAGAACTCCATTCTTTGACCTTGGTTCTGAATCTGCTTCTAATCTATTTTAATTTTAAAATTATTATTAAAAGTGCTATCTAAAAGATTGAAATAGAGGCGATTTTTGAAAACCAGTAAACTCAAGAAGTAATTTTACTTCATGAGGATGACAAGGAAACTGATTCAATAGGTTTAATTATTCATTGAGTCATTATAACACCTGCTGAGTGGGTACTAATATTCCCTTAACTTGGTATATTTATTTGGTATGAACTATTTTCTATATCTAAAGCTAAAAGCCAAGTCTCACTTGCTTAGTCATGTAGAAAAACCCATATGTGACCCACTCATTATGTAAGATGACTCAACTGATACTTGTTCAAATGACTTCCTCATTTGATTCCTAGATGTCTTCAGAGTGTATTGTTTCAAACTAAGTGTTGCTTATGTTTTGGCCACCTGCTGATTTCAGATGAACATGCTGTTATCTTGAGATCTTGAATGTGTTCTTTTTTGTCCTCTTTAGCCTTAGAGGAAAAAAGAAGAAAAGAAGAACTAGTGAAAAAGCGAATTGAACTCAAACATGACAAGAAAGCAAGAGCTATGGCCAAGAGGACAAAGGATAATTTCCATGGTTACAATGGGATTCCTGCTGAGGAAAAGTCAAAGAAGAGACAGGCAACGGAAAGTCACACTAGTCAGGGAACAGACCAAGAGTACGAGATGGAAGAAGAGGATGAATTCTTAGACTACAATCAAGCAGCATCAGAGCAGGAGTATGAAGAAGAGCAAGAACCTCCCAAAGTTGAAAGCAAACCAAAGGTCCCCCTTAAAGGTGCCCCACCAGTCATGAACTTCACTGATCTGCTGAAGCTGGCTGAGAAAAAGCAGTATGAACCCGTGGAAATCAAGGTAGTGAAGAAAACAGAAGAGCGGCCTATGACTGCACAAGAACTTAAGGAGCGAGAATTCCTTGAACGAAAGCATAGGAAAAAGAAACCTGAGACAGATGCAAGACTACCTCCAACCAAAAAGGCACCCTCTCAGAAAGAAAGCGTGGGCACAAAACTTAGGAAAGTTTCTGGGGACAAGCTTCCTTCTTCCAAGGGTACTCCCCTTCTTCACGCTGAGAAAAAATCCAGGCCCAGCACTGCTAATGAGAAACACGTGGGTTTGTCTTCATCCAAATCCATGCCAGGAGTGAGGACCAAAGTAAGATCTGGCAGTTGCTCCCAACCCTCATTTCGTGAGGGCCATGACAGACCTGTTTTTAACGGGACTGGAAAGATCCATTCGAGCACTTATTCACCAGGTGTCCCAAAGACTTCTGCTAAAGGGACTCAGAAATCTGCTACTGAGCACAAAGCCAAAAAATCTCCCCCCCATCCCAGCCATTCCAGGCCTGGGCCCATGAGCACCCCACATAATAAGGCTAAGAGTCCAGGTGTCAGGCAGCCAGGCAGCAGCTCCAGCTCAGCCCCTGGGCGGCCTAGTGTAGGGACTGCTCGGCCTACAGCTAGTTCTGGCTCGGTGCCCAGGCGCCAGAATGGCAGCTCCAGCTCAAGACCTGAACGACCAGTCATTGGGACCAAGAGACCAGCCAGTGACTTAAATCCTTCTGGACGGACAGTCAGTGGTAGAAGTGGTCCTGGACAATCCATCAGTCGCCCAGGTGCTTCTGGGAGATCAGTGGGCAGCTCTGGTGGCCCTGGGCGGCCTATGAACAGCCCAAATGACCTTCGACGACCAGTGAGTGGCCCAGTGCCCACCGGGCGGTCAGTCACTGGCCCTAGGCATTCAGTAAGTGGCTCAGTTCCAGCAGGACGGACTGTCGGTAGTTCAGGCCCTGGAAGACCAGGGAGCAGCTTGGCACCTGGGCGGATAGTTAGTAGTGCAGGACCCTCCTTGAAGCCCAAGTGCACTGTTGTCTCAGAAACAATTTCTTCCAAGAATATCATTAGCCGGTCCAGCAATGGACAGATGAATGGAATGAGGCCTTCCTTGTCTGGCTACAGACCTGCCCCAGGTAAAATTGCCCCTCACCCTAAGAGTATCTATTTGTCACTAGGAAACTGAAAAGCATACTTTTTTTTTTTTTTCAATACCAGAGACAGTGTAATCCTTCTGTGTGCCCTTTAATGTATTCTTATGTTGATAGAATCCTGTTTTGTCTGTCTTGTGCCTGAGAGTTCCTTTCTCAATCATGGCTTAGAAGGCTTTAGAAAGAGACTTATTTAGGGCCCTCTGTGTTTATCCCTAATATCTCCAAGTTTAATAAACATAGCTATGTGATTTGTAAGACAAAGTGAAGCATATATGCCTTAAGTTCAGTGAATGGATTCACCTTTTCATGAGACTAAAGAGACTAGTCTTCAAGTATTGGAATGCATTTGTAAGCTTGAAGCCTTTTGGTACATTACTTATTTATCAAATATTTTTTTAGTACCCAGTATGTGCCAGGAACTGTTTACAACTGCCCTTGTGTTTCTGCCCCTTATAGTGAGCAACATTAAGGCCCTAGCGACTAGACCTTTAGGAATCACTGTCCCAAGGTACAGGATCATTGATGGCACCTACGAGGTGCTAGGTCATAGCTTCTTCATGGTAATAAGCATTTGTTAAAGTACTTGTTAGGGGCCATGGAGGATATAAAAAGAAACAAAAGATTTTCATTCATGCTCTTTACTTCCTAATTTAGCTAGAACATTGGTTCTCAACCAAGGATGATTTTGATCCCCAGTGAACATTTGGCAATGTCTGGCAACAGGGAATGCTGATGGCATCTACTAGATAGAAGGCAGCGACGCTGCTATTGTCCTACAGTGCACAGGACAGCCTCCTCATAACAAAGATATCTGTCCCAAAGTGTCAGTAATGCCAGAGTTGAGAAAGAAGCTCTGAGCTAATGAGACAAGCCATGCATATTAAAAGTTTTAGAAGAACAAAAGGAGTGTCTGTAATCAAGGACTAGACAGCAGTTGTTCCCAGATGCTGGTCTATTGATCAATGTTGACCTTTTACAAAAATTGTAATGAGTCTTTTGGAAAAATGACAAAAATAAGGATAATGTAGTGAGTTTTTCCTGAAGTCAGACTTTATTCAGTTTAAACAATTATCCATAATTCTGAGAGTCTCTCCTAGTTATTGGACTTTTTAAAAATTTAATGAAATTATGATGGTAATAGATGGTAGGTTGTTACCTTTGGTGCCTTGTGAAATTAAAAGCTAGTGACCCTATAGCTATTTGTAATTTTTTTTAAGTTGCCAGTGTTCTAAATCCAGAAGAATTTTACTAAGCTAGACAATGTAACAGACACTTCTAAGTCAGCCCTGGGATATACAGGAATTCTGTTCTTTGTGGATGCCATGAAGCAGCAGGGACGGTGTAGGAACGACTCCATGCCATGCACCAGTTTGCTGGCTCTGGTTTTTGAGAATACCATCTGAATGAGTTCTCAAAATCTCATTTTACATAGGGCTTTGTTGGGGCTATTTTAAGGGTTTTTTTCGGGGGGGAGGGCGCTATTTTAAGTTTTAATGCTCTTATAAATAATGGCTTTTCTATTCTTAGGTCCTCAAAGGCTTTCCTTCCCTAGTGGTTACAAAAGGCAGAGAGACTATGAAGAGGAAGAAGATGACTATGACTCCGAAATGGAAGATTTTATCGAAGATGAAGGAGAATCTCAGGAAGAAATATCCAAGCACATTCGAGAAATCTTTGGCTATGACCGAAAAAAGTAAGGCTAAAGGAGATTTAGATATACTTTTTTTTTTTAAAAACTGATGCTGAGAGGAAAAGTATACATTAGTAGTAGAGGCATTGAATACAATCATTAATTAGGAATCTTTGCATGATTTAGATTTACTGTTTTGGCATTTAATATGTAAGAATTATGTAACTCAGAATTATTTGTGTAGTTCCTTGCATAAGAGCCAAAAATTATCCTTTTTCAAACAGTTGTCTTTATAAGACATATATTTAATGTGAGTGAAGCAATGTGGTGTAGTAGAAATAGATTGTCTTTGAAATCAAAAAGCCATCCACAGAGCTATGTTGGGGGCTGGTGTGATCTGACAGCTGCTTTTCTTTGGTGTAAAAAACTTTGCAAATTAAGTGCAGTCCCTGGACAGCAGCATGGGACCAATAGCATTAACATGACTTGGGAGCTTGTTAGAAATGCAGGCTCTGAGGCCTCACTTCAGATCTACTGAATCCAAATTAGGTTCCCAGGTGATACGCACATTAAAGTTTGAGAAGCCTATAAAAGAAAGACCAGGGTTTGAATAAAAGTTCTACCACTTTGCTAGCTGGGTAAACTTGAGTAAACTATTTTATATAAAATGACATTTGGAAGGACAAACGTGAGGTAGTGTTTATGTAGAACAGAAAGGCTTTATCATAGTGCCTTTCTATTCATCAACAATTGCTACCGCCTTCAAAGCCATGGAAAAAAACTAGATGGCAGTCCTAAGAAAAGGTCTTTTCTTTTTTTCTTTTTTTTTTTTTTTAAGACATTTAGTAGAAGCAAGAACTAGATTAAAAATCAAGTCTAAATATCTAATCTAGTCCTGATGAGTTGGGCCCATGAGTTGGGCGTCCTCCTGAGAACCAAAAGGTCACTGGTTCTATTCCCAGTCAGAGTACATGCCTGGGTTGCCGGCATGCAAGAGGCACCAATCAGTGTTTCTCTTGCACATCAATGTTTCTCTCCCTCTCCTCCCTTTCTTCCCCTCTCTCTAAAATAAATAAAATCTTTTAAAAAAAGAATTCTGTCAAAACTAATAATTTTTAAAAAATAAAATAACAAAAACTTAATGTATGTAGTATCATTAGAGGTATATGTTCTTGGTCAAGCCATTAACCTCCGTGCTTCAGTCTATGTTCTAAAAGTCCTTTCCTCCCTCATGAGAGTCATGAAGTTCCAATGAAACTTATACAAAATAATTTTCACATACATTGTGCTTTTAGGATTTTAATATAAACTATCACATAATAGAAGTAAGTTGAAAATAAGCATTATTGGTTTGGTACCTTCATCAGCATTAGATTCAGGAATCTGGTAGTAATAAGCTCTCATTTGTCTTCAGAAATCCACCTCTACTCATCCTGTGCCCCCCTACTCGCCACTAAGCTAGGAGGAGTACTCCTAAATGTGTTTGATGTAGTTATGAAGATGTTGATTTTAAAGCAGCAGGATTTAGTTCCTTTGAAAATTGAATTTTTCTTTTTAAAACAGTTTTGATTTCCTCTTTCCAGATACAAAGATGAAAGTGATTATGCCTTACGTTACATGGAGAGTAGTTGGAAAGAGCAGCAGAAGGAAGAAGCGAGGAGGTAGGCACAAAACTTAACCACATTTGTGTAGACATGTTCTAAAACTCTTTTTGTTTGTTGCTTCATTTGCGTCATTGGAAGCAGGGGTTTTGGGCCACACAATTCTGAATTCCAGTCCTGCTTATCTGCTGTGGGGCTTTAAACAAATTCTTTAGCCTTTCTAAATCTTGTTTTCTTATTTGTAAAATGAGAACATAACTTTTTACTGACAGGAGGTATTATGAGGATTGAGACAATGTGGGCAAGTCGCCTTGTGCAGTGCCTCATCCACGTAGGCACACAAGAACTGCTAGAATCTGCCTCTGATCCCGTTGTAGCATGTTTTTGTTCTCCATCCTAATTCCCTTTCCACATCAGACACATCGCAGTCTTGCTTCCCTGTGCCACTACTGGCCTCGGGGACCAAATGAGGGTTATTGAATTCCCTCTGATTTCTGTTTGGCTACCTGAGAGCAAACAAATGATAATTTCTTAGGTAGAGGTAACAAGTGAAATAATTTGTAACTTGGTGAAATACTTTGCCTTAGTCTCAATTCAGAATATTAAACCTTTTTTTCCCTCTTGCCCTCCCTCTCCTGTAACTAGGTATCAAACTAAAGTTTTGGGAAGACAAGCTTAGAATGTTATTTTTGTATAAATGTTTCTTGTTCTTTATTTTTAAAAGCTGCTGCGATAATTTTTATTACTTTATGAGAACAGTCAGGTATTTCGTGTTGAGGTTGCACGTGAGGTCTTTTTTCTTACTATAATTTGAGTCTATGGCAGTGGCTCTTGGTAAAAAATATTTCTGCTAATGTTTTCAGTGGTAAAGCTTTGAGGCATTTTGAGTGTGTAATACATTCCATCTGAACTTTCAGTTGAAATTTCATTCTTGCTTTTTAAAGAAAGTAGAATTTCATGTGTATTGACAAATACCTTCCTTTTCTTATACCTCTTTTCTTTCTTTCTTTTTTTTTTTTTGACAGTTTAAGACTAGGTATGCAAGAGGACTTAGAGGAATTGAGACGTGAGGAAGAAGAACTGAAATGCCGAAAGGGCAAGAAGCTGAAAAGGCATTAACTGCTGCTTTTATTTTTGTGAAATTCTGGAGAGACTCTGCTGCAAGGAAGTCCTGCCTTCAGACTGAAGAAGCCCCTTTATCAATCATTTTAGATTTATACTTGGGTCCTAAGGAGAAGGAATGCATACTGTATACTTTGAGCATAAAGTATTTTCAAATACTTTCCAGGGCGAAATCTGTGAAGCAGATGACATCCTGCCCAGTGAGTGCTCTTATGACATTAACTGTTCACAGGTGCCAGCCTTGATCCTGATGAGCTATGCACTCTAATGTGGGGCCACTCAACAGTCAGCCAATCTTCTATTGTTCCTTTGTTATGTTAAAAAGGAAAAAAAAGATTGCTTCTTGACTTCCATAGTTCTGCTGATGCGTGAGTAGGGCAATGGCCAACTCCCAAGCCTTTTTTTCTTTTTTTTTTTTTATGAGGAACCTGGCCCTTTATGAATGTTGCAAGCAATAAAGTGACCTGTCCTAATCTGTATGTTTGGATTGAGAACTTGAAAATGTAGAGTAGGCTTTATAATCATCAGATGGAAGTCATCTCTCTGACTTTGAATTAAAAAGTAGAATAAATTATATTGTATTCTGTATTCATGGATTGGATGCTGAGCATTCTTATTCACTAATATAGGTGATTAGGCAATTAACAAAAAAAATTGCAAGTTAAAATACAAGTGATGCCATTTAATAGAATATTCTTTTTCATGTTATCCTTTCAGATTTCTTGTGAAATAGACAATGTCACTGCTGATTTTTATCTAAAAGTTCATTTTTATATTGAAGAAAATAATATTTTATTCAAACGTTAGAGTTGGAAGAGTAATAGTTTAAAAAAATAAGCAAGTAACATGTGAGGCTCCCCCTTCCCCATCTCCCCCTGTAAAGATACTTTGGAATCCAAGGTGCCCTTGCATCCCTTGATGTTAATGACTTTGCATTTTTATCTTAAAATTCCTTAGCAATTAAGGCAAAAACCAAAAATTAAATTCATGTGTATCAAGAGCACCACCTTCTCTTTTTGCCCATATTGCACTTTTATTTCAAACTATGCACTGTGAAGATTTTTTTCTCCCCAAGTAGAAAAGGATGTTCCCTGTTACTGGTGTTATACTGGGCTGTGGACCTTCATTCTCACCTTTCTTCAAGTCCTGTCTGTAGACTTACTATCTCTTAAGCCACAAATCCAAGCAATTCCAATCAGGCTGATTTAGGTTCTGGTTGGAGAGAAGCCAAGTCTCATGGAAAGTCATCAACAAAAAAATGATACGCTGATGATGGAGAGCATTTGTCCTTGATTCTAAATGCAGAGGGTTGGGGACAGTGAGACATAAGCTTATAGAATGGTTCTACTATATTGTGGCTACTTTAAACCATTGGGTGGTAGGGATTAAGTAAGAATGGTTGTTCTACAAAGAATCCTTCCTCTTCAGTAGGTCCAAAGCTTGTTTAGGTGTGTTCCTTTTTACTCATTGAGCTTTCTTTATTCTTCAAGCTTGGGTATTACAGATGACCATCATCAGCTTTTCTTCATGGGTCAACTGTGTGACCCAGTCCCTTAGACTCTGACTCATTTTGAATTGACTTTCAAGGTTTGAAAGTGCAATGATTTAATTTTGAAGTTGAATCCAATGAAAGGTTTCGCCATCATTAGGAATAACACCCTTTCTAATATTCCACATAGACTGTTACACTGGTGGCAGAAAATCCTGTTAACTCTCTCTCACCCATCTCAAATACCTTCAGTGAAATTGATTTAAGGGTAGTGTGATGTTCCACATATTAAAACAGGTTGGGAACATTATTTCCTTTGCTGTCCCTTACGTGGTTTTTTTCCCCCCAAAAGTTGTTTTCTTGTATATATTTTTTTTCAATATTCAAACTCCTTGATATTGGCAATTACAATCACGTGCTTGTTACAAATGATTTTTTGGTTACTTAAATTAACTAGCACTTTACTCAGTGATATTGAGCAGCCATTTGTACAGAAAGGCACGATTGTGCTAGATAAAAGTTGCAGAACTTGGTAAGAAGAGTCAGGTTGTGTCCTTGTGTCTGCCACTTCTGAGTGCATTTCCTCCATAATATAGATGTTGATTTGCTGTTATTGAACATAAATATTAATAAAAAGGCACTTCTGTAGCTCATTTTTAAAAAATTGAGTGTTTTAAGTTAATTTTGGCCTTGTTTCCAAATCCTGTCTTCCGTTTTGTTCTTCAGTTCCTGACCACTCCTACAGAAAGCTCACAAACCTTTCAAGAAACTGGAATAGGCTGTTATTTTATCAAGGTTTACAAATTTAAATGTGTGATTTCTAATGTATCCTCTATTGTTTTCATTTTCAGATTTTCTTAAGTCAATATTTCAAGATGTGCCTTTTATTGGGTAATGTTAATTCATGAATGTAGTAATGTTATTTCACAATTGTAATAATGTTACGTGATCATGGGTGTGGTATTCTCTAACAGATGATGTGAAAGGAAAGTAGTTACAAAATTCAAATGCCTCTGATTGCACAGTCGCACTTGCTTTTAATGTTGCTATGACAAAGCAAGGGGCACTTTCTTTTAAGGCTACTTTCAGAACTTAGTATTTTCTCTAAATTATAAATGCAGTTACGTCCATTTGGAGGCCAGGGTACCACACGGCACAGGCAGCCTTCCGGGTATGCCGTGACAAGGTTCAAAGACTTAATAAAAAAGAAAGTCTGTGGGAACTCGAAATTTCATTTCTTAAATGTAATCCCCAAGATTTTCTCCAAGAAATTATTTACTGTTTTTGTATTTTATAACTTAAAAGCAGCTATTAGTACATTTCTGAGATGTAGCAGGAGACCAAAACATGTTTGGAAAGAGAATAAATCTATAAAGAGAGACTGGTTGGTTTATTTTCAATGTGCTGAATATATCAGACTATTTATTTTATGCGTGAACATGATGAGATAAATATTCGGTTGTTTAGTGTATAATTAAGAATGGGACATAGATTTCTTTTGAGTTATTAAATCCATCATGTCTTTAACATAATGGACAAATCAAGTTTAGAAACATTTACATAGCTTAGCTTGTTAATCTGGTGCTGTTGACCTGCAAGAGAATCTACTTTTGCATATACAGGTGAAAGTTTTACAATTTATGTATAAAGAAATTGTAGGCATTAAAAATATTTTATTGATATTTTCCCTGGTTTGCACTTATTTATCAAAACCCATATTCCTTATTTCATCACCCTGAACATTTTTCCAGCTAGAACCTCCAGTAGACTCATCACACTTCAGAGATGGGGTTTGCCTCCTTACACACATCTCTGCTCATTCTCCCTCACACATTCACATCTGCTCAGATCCTACTACTGATACCTTGTCTCCCCCACCAACTTACAGAAGACAAAGGCACATCTCCAAGTTAGGAGAACTATGTGGAGGTATACTCTGAACTGGAAGGAAGAAGGAGACTGGGAATAGACTTCTTATCGAGAAAAGCAGGCTCTGATCCCCTCCAATAAAAGAGCCTGAGATGGCTGAGAAGATGGGTCCTTAGGAATATATTAAGAAAATAAGCCCTCTTGATTGAAATTACAGCTCACCATGTATAAGACAAGTGGGCACCACCATGCAGCCAGAGGATGCAGGCACTTAATGAAACGTGTTGAGACTAGGTCATAAGAAATATAAGAAATGCTAGTATCCTAGATTGAGAAATTAAGAGTTTTGCTTAAGGATTTTGAATTCACATTTCCATAAAAAATAAGGGTAATCCACTCAGTACATAGAGCCACATACAAATAGTTTAGCAAAACTGTACCAAATAGTTACCAACGCGTACATAACCAAAATATGTACTAGTAAGGGTGTACTTCTGGACATGAAACTTATCAGTTCTGGACACAAAACTATCAGTAATCCCCAAGCAGCCACAGAATGGGAAGTTTCATACTGTTTATTTAAAAAGTGCTGTATTTACTCCCGTTAAGAGTTGTCCCTCCCTCTCCCCTCCCCCTTTAGGGTCAGAAAGCTCTAAGCTAGGGGTCCCCAACCTCCCTCCTGGTCCGTGGATACTGCTCACAGCTCATACTACCACCTGAGCTCCTTCTGTCTCCCATCCCTCTCCCCCGCTTGACCTCTGCCTCTTGTCTCCCTTCCACCCACCATCCTGGGCCATGGAAAAACTGTCTTCCACAAAACCTGTCCCTGGTACTAAAAAGAAGGTTGGGAACCGCTGCTCTAAACCACTGGAGGGCTTATTAGGAATAACCCAGGGCTCAGATACTCAAATTAGTTGGATATATCTTATACTTAATTTCCATCCTTGGTCTCATAAACTTAAACTGCATCATAATAAGGACTCAGCAGTTAGTTTTGTTTCTACACATGCTGCCTGTATTAGCAGCAGTCAGTGCTAAAAGAACCATCAGGCAACTTCTTGGCTATACAGGTGAGGGAGATATTTGGATGAAAAGGCAGCCAAGATCTTAGATATCCCAGCCTCTTGTCTGGCCCTGTTCCTTGGCACATAAAAGCATCCCAAGGAGAAGACCTGGATCTTAATCTTCACTACAACTTAGAGCTGCATGCGTTGGTATGTTACTTAAGACTCTCAACTTCATTTTTGCCATTTTGTAAAGTGAGGCTATTATCCATCTTAGGTTATTGTAAGGATTAAAATAATGTAGAATTTAATATCTAGCACCCAATATAAAAATGAGGTCCTTTCCCCCACATGATTTAAACTTTGGGTTCTTAATAATAGCTGTGGGAAGCCCACAGAGAAATACCCCAAAGAAGAAGCTTAAAGTTACTGCAATCTCTAGCCCTTGGACATTTTTTCAACTCTGGACCCAGCAGAAAGACATTATTTGGGAAATACGTCTCAAGAACTCTTGAGAATTTCTATCCTCAAGGATACAGAAAAGAAGACAAGTTGAACTTGGTATCTTAGTCTTAATACCAGTCTTTGGGACTATGAAACAGAAGGGACTCAAACAGTCTCATCCACCTCGACTACCTCCCCACCTTCCACCTCCCTGCTCCGAGCTAAGAGAATTCCAAGTCTTCATCTTAAAAAGGTGCGGGAACTTTGTACATTAAATGTGACAAAAATAATGTGCAATTACTTTATGCGAAACCAACAACAGGAACTGTACGCTGGTCAGGTGAGCTTCAGAGCTGCATTGCTTCACCAGGATCATCTTTGCTTATTTCCACCGGGGTCTGAAGAGAAAAAGGTCAGGAGGGCCATGCTTAGCTTTTGCCAGGGATGGGCTGAAGTGATTGTCCTCTTTACCAAGGGCAGGCAAGCGTAGCTGTGTCCAGTTCTGTCACCTAATGCCTCCGATCTCAGTTGCCAGAGGGGCTTAGTAGTAGGGGAGCTGACAAGAGGCAGAGAAAGGACACATACACAAGGTCCCACAGGAGGAGAGAGGATAGAGACACGTGCCGCCTGAACCATTGCAGAGCAGTGTTTGCCTGAGGGATAGTTAAGTGTGGTTTGCCGTGTGGGCTAATCTAAGAAATGGTACTGAAGGCTGAACACACAAAATGTCCCATGAGGACAGCCTAAGTCATCCACGTCAGACAGCTTTGACCCTGGGTCTGAGAAATCGTTAACTCTACCCTTCCAGTTTCTTTGAAACTGAAAAAGAACAGAGACTCTTAAGAAAATATGTATGAAAGGGAGGTAACTCTCCCAACTTAGCAAAGTAATAATAATAGAAGTAGGCAAGCTACATAACTTTTTTTTTTAACAAAGAAAAGGGTATTTGTTTCTAAAGTTACTACAGTTGGATTTTGATGTTTAGTTCATTTATCTCGGGGAATACATTTTGAAGTCAGAATAGAGAACAAAGCTGATGGCACACTTACCCCTCCTGGGGGATACTTATATCCCTTCCACATTGTTCCTGCAATGAGAAGCATCCATAAAATCACAATCATTGTGGGCTTCTGGCTCAGCTGGTGGTGCGTGCAGGGGAAAACGGGTGGTTCTGAAAGGTGTCTTCTATTCCCTGAGTCCTGGGAACTGGGCTGTCTTCATTCAAAGCCTGATGGTGGACCCAGCATGATAGCTCCTGGCCGAGGGACTTCGTGGTCTAGTCTGAACTGAAATGGCTTGCCATGGCCATTTGGGGGGACAGAGCTCAGCTACCGATTGTGACATCAGCTCCTGTGACCTTGCGGACCAGTCAGAGTGCGTAGCTACGGGACGGCTGGCCAGGATGCCAGGTGTGTTGGAGCTAAGGAACCCTTATCAGAAGAGCCCTGTTCTCTGGTGACCCTATGTGGTTGGGATCTAGCTGGCATCAGACCTTTATTAACTCATCACCTGTCACAATTTTGACGTTTGGCTTTATGCAATCAAATGGAAAAAAAATTCCTATTAAAACACAAAACAAAAAATACCCTCGATTAATTGGGAGGATTAAGTGGCTAGGTATGTTATGAGCAATTACTTTACATACAGTTGTTAGACTATGCAAAGAAGAAAAATCTTGCATTTTGCAAAGTAGCACAATTAAACCTTCATGCAAGGTAAGCCCCCTCACAACTTCCCTCAGAAGGGACGAGAAGGAAAGTGGGCTGTTATGCTCATTTCACAGCTGGAGAAAATGAGCCACAAGATAGTTTCAGTCGTTTGGTCAGGAAACGGTAGTGGCTCAGCTGAACAAGTACCCTGGGCACCCATTCGCATCCCCACCCCTACAGAGGTCTGACTGTGTGGTGCCAATCATCTCTCATAGGATGAGAGAGATGGAGGGGAAAAAAAAAAAGAACTACCATTGTGCCTTGCTCTTAGCATATCTGGGGCTGGGATTTGATATCCATGCCTTGCAGAGTAGCTTCCCAGAAAACCTGCTCCTGCAGTCAGTACAATACTAAAATTCAGAGTTAAGTTTCTTTAACTATGGGAACATCTTTGAAAAAAACAGGTCTGAATGAAACAGGGTGGGATATGGGAAACCCAGAGGGGGACAGTTTGCTAAAAGGACACTGTTATTAACGTTTGCTACAGGCAAGCTGGGCTAGTGGAATGAATGCGAGAGGCTATTAAGTTCAGAGATCTACACTGACTTCCCAGTTTCACAAACAAGTTGGTCTGTGTGGCCTTGGATAAACAGTTAAGGTTGTTGCCAAAGTAAATCTTTGTTGACGGGTTCATAATTTTCCTTAGTTGTTAGGTTAGCATATACTAAATGCTAATTGTCAAGTTTTGCATTAAAGGCTTTACATGAATTCCCAAATGTAATCCTCACAAAAAATAGTAAGATACTAAGATAACTCCATTACGCAGATGAAGAAACTGAACTTAATCACAGAGATTAAATTTACCCAAGTCGCTTAGCTAGTAAGTTTCAAAGTTAGGACTTGAACCAAATTCACGTTAACTCCAGTTTCTGGATCTGCCAAAGGGGGCATTAAAAATGCTGGTCCACTTTATTATAGAGTTTGTGAGGAGGAAATAAGTTAAAAGATAGGAACAGTCTTTGAAGAGAATATGTCTTTTCAAAGCAGACCAGTGTAGTTATTGACAAATCTTTAAATTCTCGTCTGCTGTCCTCAGCAGCGCTCCCCAAATTCTCTTTCCCTACCATCTATTTCCAATCATTCCCTCTTCCATAGTTTATTATCTTGTCCAGAGAACTATAAACTCTCCACTGAGATGTCAGGGTGCAACCAAGTTCTCTGGAGAGGGAGGAATCCCACCCAACAGGCCTGATCACTCACAGTTGTAGATCTTCATCCAAAGCCTGGCTGCTCTGTCGTGCCTTGCTCTCCTGAACAGGCCACCTCTCTTTCCACCTCAGAGTTGGAGCCTGAGTCAGAAAGAAATTTAAAGGTAGACATGGCTCTACTCATTGGCCCAGTAGGCAACTGCCTCTGTTTGGGACTGGAATGGCCGCTGAAAAGTCCGCCCCCCAAGGCCCACCTTCCCTCTCCTGATCAGTAACCGCTGATCCACTTGGCCTGAAATCCAGAAGTGGAGCACGATCTCCAACAGATCACTTATAAATTCCATAATGCTTTGGAATAAGTGACATTACATATGCCGAATGGGAGGGGAGACTTAAAGATGCCCCAATGAGTTGGGAAGTAGCCTGGGAAACTAACTTTGTTTCCAGACCTCTAATTAGTGGTGAAGCTCAACTGTCTTTCCCACTTGGTCAGAAACCCCAGCTGGGAGGGTCAGCCTGGGCCAGGACTGACTACCAGAGATTTACAGGTAGGGTCATGACTTACCATGAACTCTGGAAAGGCACCCATGTAACATGCAAGGCCAACGAAAAGCATCCAGCCAAGCACGATCATGATAAAACAATTTTAAAGACACAATTGCACAGTGAAAGATTCTTTACCAAGACCTTGGTAAAGGAGTATGCTCATGAAACCCTCAGGTGGCAGAGCTCTCACATGTCAGTTCCAGCCCTTGGCTCTAAGGGATCCGCAACTCCCTAGTGGAGAGATTGGAGTCTAGTAGGGCATTGTGACATCATTGGTCACATGACCCATGCTCACACCAAATCAGATCATGTAATTCCTCCGTTCAAAACCCTCTAGTAGCTTCCTCTTTCCAAGTAAAAGTTTAACAAAGAAAAAAGCAGCCCCTGACATTAGAACTAATCTGACCCAGTTGGGTCTCGGTGTTGTTAGCTGATCTGGCACCCATAGCTAGGTTGTGTGACTCTCTTGTGGCGATAACAATCTCACAGAAAACCAACATCAGATGGGTCATTCAGACCATGATAAAATGAGACAAAACAAGTCCACTTCATAACTTTGTTTAAGCAGATAAAAAGCAAGGTCACTGTACAACCCATGAAATACCAAACATCCTCTTCTCTGCTAATATGAGTGACTGCTGCTTCTTTACCCATCACAGCTGTCATTGCTCTAGTTTGTCCATCTTATAGATATCTGAGATACCCAATCATAGAATTGTCCTTTCTAATAGCACCCAATCCGAAGTGAAGCTTTGCTTCCTTAAACCCTCCCCCAAGTCACCTAAAGCGCAAATTCTATTATAATAGGTCCTTTTCAACACTCTTAGTGAGCTGTCTCAATGGTTGTCTACACTATCTATTCCCTCCCTGCAAGGAGTGTGGGTGTGTGTCTGCTGGTCTCTGGCTGAAGGGAACTGACAAGCCAGAGTCACAACTGTCTACACACACATTGGCTCTCAGATTTTATCACGCATTTGATTAACCCAGGCTTCTTAAAACAGAGTGCTCTATCCTGACCTCCAGAGTTTCTATTTTTGTATATCTAAGGTAGGGGTCTATAATCTGTATTTTTAACAAGTTCCAGGTGCTGCTGAGACTGTAAGTCTGGGGACTGCATTAGAGGAATCACTGCCTTAAAACCATCTGTGGCTCCCTCTTATTTCTCTGATTTAGCCACCTTCTGCTTCCTTTCCTCTTACTTCATTCTATTCCAGCCCTACTGGCCTTGCTGTTTTGAGCCTCCCCAAACTCATGCCTGTCTTAGGACTGCCTTGAATGTCCTCTATGCATATGAAACGCTTACTGTTTAACCTCTCAGCGGGATCTACCCCATCTCCTTACCCTGCCTTTTAAAAATTTATTCTCATAACATTTAATTACCTTCTAACATGGAGTCTAATTTGCTTATTTATTATATTTGTTGTCTTGCTCTCTTCCTACTCTTGAAAGAATGACAGCCTTAGGACAGCTGGTATTTTTGTTTCTTTTGTTCACTTCTGTATCGAGACCTAAAAAAAATGTCAAATAGTCAATGCTCAAAAAAAGTTTGTAGAATGGATAAATGCTCCTTCCAGCCCTTCACTTTGTTCTCCTAATTGAGCCACAGAATTCCTGCCTTTGGATCTTCCTAATACACTTAAAGTGTCCAGCTCCTGCGAGCTTTTAGGCCCAATGGCTCAAACCAGGAATACAAAGCAGCTAACTCACAAGTCAAGGAGACCAAGTAAAGCCACCATATTGCATATCTTCACCTTCTCCAGATGACCTTATCCACCAATCTACTCCTCTCTTGTTTTCAAAGTCTTTTTCTCACCTGGCGTTTTACCCTCTCTACACCAACATGCTTATGGCACCGCCCTTCCCTGTTAAGAAAAGCAACTCCTCCCCCGCTGCCTCATCCTCACAACGCTATCCCTATCTCCCATTTTTTTTGACAACGCTCCTACTGGCTCCGTTTTCCTTTTCTAGCTCCTTGAAATTGTGGGTTTGAAATTTCATTACCTCTTTCTTCCTAAATCCAATTACAATATTCGGTCTTGATCTTTTTCGATACTCTGCTGAATATAACACAGCATTCTAGATACTCCCTTCCAGAACCTTTACTGCTTCTCTTCAGGTTCCTTCTATTCGTCTCTGAACAGATGTCCCCAAGTTTCTTTCCAGCAAGCTAGAGCGTAGTTCCCTACGCGCCAACGAGTTTCTGTGGTCCTCCGGGTTCTAGCCGGAGCGAAGATCAGATCCCCCGCAGAGCCACCGCTGCCGAGTCCGGGGCGTTGAACGCGCGTTGACTTTCGAGTCTGGGAAGGGGCGGGGCCTTAGAGCTCTCGGGAGGTTTGGTCCTCGGCGGCCGCCGTCCGAGAGCCGGTGCCAAAGGAGGTCCAGGGGCTGGGGTCGCGGAACCTGACTCGGGAACCTGGCTGGAGATGGAATTCGACTGCGAGGGTCTGAGACGGCTGCTTTGCAAGGTGCGGGCAGCCTGCCGTGTCGGGTCTGGGGACCCGCGGTCCTAGGGGCTCTTCCACCTGCCGGGCTACCTCCTCGCGGCGTATTCCCTTTTGGAGCGGAGGGGTGTTGGCCTGAAGTTGCCTGCGGAGAATGGCCCTGGGGAAGCCACTGGCCTCTCGCTCCCAAGCCCAGGGCTCTGGCTCCACCCGCGACTCTGAGGTCTTCCAACCTCCACGGAACTCCGAGGTCCAGTCTCCACCCGGTGTGAGACCTTCCTTTGCCTCCAGCTTCCCTTGGTCTCAAATAGCTTCCAGCACTCGCCTGTCCCTTTAACCACTCCCTTTTCTCTTTGCTAAAATTGCCTGTCCCATTTTTCTTGACTGCAGCGCTCTGCCTTTGTATGACCCAACTCAGATGTCACTCCCTGGAAGATAGAATCATTTCCTTCTCTCTACTTGCTTTCAGAAATGTCCATTATCACATTGTGGAGTAATTCTTGATTTACAAACTTTACTCATACTTCTGAACTCGTTGATGCCCGACACGGTGCTTCACCTCGCTCTGTGCCTGTCAAAAACGGAGGTGCTCAATAACAGCGCAGTGAATCAAAAGACCCGAAACAGACTTAGGGGTGAAGACAGGGCTTGAAAGCCCAGAGGAGAACCTCTTCATGTTGAAAGGTTAAGTGGAAGGGCTGACCCAGAAGTCTGACCTACGTTTTTGGGGCATGATATAGCGCCAGTTTCCGGGTCAGTCTTGGCTCTCTGATTCTCCACCAGTGTATAGTCTGAGGCGTCCCCGCTTTTCACTGGTTTTCTAGTTAAGTGATTGTTATGCTTCTTAAGACTTCCCTCATGTGAAAACCATCCGTTTGTGGCCTTTTTGTTGTTGTTGTTGTTGGATTTGTCTATCTTTGTTAGGGCAGTTTGCACACCCGTGCGAGATTCTAAGCCTCGTGATTGAAATTGTTTATATATATAAGCGGTTTAAATTATTTTATCTACCGGGACAGGTGTAGATCTTGTAAGAAGTATCATCATCCTTAGAGTTACACCCTTTCTATCGTCTGTTCTGACAACATGGACTTTTAAAAAATCAGTCTATATGAAATTTTTAAATGAAGAAAAAGTGTATTGTCTGGTGACAGGAATTGTTAAAATTGATAGTGGAAAAAATTTAATAATTTTGGTGGAACTGGAATGAAGGAAAAAGACAAAAGAGTGATTTTTCTCAAGGGTGGGAATAGACTTGTAGAAGATTTTTATTTTATTTTATCATCAATGCATAGCAAAGTCTGGCACATAGGTGCTTGATATTTGTTGGATGTGTAAATTAAGGAAACCAGTTAGAAACAAGTCAGTCGTGCTAATATTTCTGAAGTCCCTTAGCCCTTGTACTAGGCAAATAATATACTAACTTGATATCTAGAAATAATTTTAGTGCTGAAAAATCTGTGAATATGTTAAAATCAAGCAACTATATGGAGAATGTGAACATTTTTATTGAAAACAAGTAAAACATTAAACATTTCAACCTACATAAATATTCCAATTTCATGGATATAGAGAAGTCCGTTATCCCCAAATTGATCTTTAAAGTCAATATAATTCCAATCAAAATTCTAATAGGTTACTTTGTTCACTTTCAAGCTAGTTCTAAAATTCATTTTGAAGAGCATTAGGCCAAGAATAATCGCCATTCTTACAGAAGAAGAGTAGGTGTGGCGACTTGCTCTACCAAATGTCAAGACTAGTGATTAAGATTTAGGGTGGTATTGGCATAGGACAGACAGATCTCCAGTGGAATAAGACTAGAGGGCTTAGAATCACATTCACACGTTTGGAAATGCAATATGAAACAAAGGAAGTGCTGTGGATAACTACAGAAAGGAGGATACAGGGAAAAATCATTATCCATGTGGGAAAAACATAAACGTAGATTCCTACCTTTTACCAAATTTAAAAAGTCCCTGTGAATTAAAGATCTAAATATAAATGACAAAATTTAAAACATATAGAGATAAATGTAGGGGAGAATCTTTATGGATTCGGAGCATACAGACATTTTTAAAAAGTAAGATATAAAATGCTCAGACTGATACATTTGACTGCATTCAAATTAGGAACTTCTAGATTTCAAAAGACATGAAGAGAGTGAGGAGTCAAAATACAATCTTAGAGAAGAATTTTGTAACATATAACTTGACAAAGTATTGATACCCAGAATATATAAATTACACACTTATAAATCAATAAAACCAAGAGAAAATTGGACAAAAGATATGAATAATCATTAAAAAAACAACAGCTAAAGAAGAACCAGAGAAATGAATGTTGCTCAACCCGTTAGTAATTGTGGAGAAGCAAATTAAGGCCGTGGTAAAACACCATTTCCCCTTACTCAGCTGGCATAAATTAAGATAATTTCAAATGATTTGGAGGTTGTGGATGAATTGGAATTTTAAGCACTCCTGGTGGTTAAACGGTTATTTAACCATTTTAGGAAACAATTTGGCCTTATTTTATTGATTTGATTATGTGTTTTATGTCCCATTTACCTCGTGGTAGATACCAGAGAAAATTCAGAGTATATGAAGCCAGAGACATTTGTAGAATTATTTATAACTAAAAATTAGAAACAACCCACATGTGCACTGACAGAAAACATTGGGTGAATATACAATATTCACACATGCGGCAGTGAAAATGAATGAGCTACAACGTGCAACAATACAAATGAATTTTAGATTATTGAGTGAAAAAAATCAGGCTGTGTACAAAATTACATTTTGATAAAATGAAGAAGCAAAACTAAACAAAAATTAAACAATGAACTGTGTTTAGGGATACACAGGGGATAAAACTATGGACGGTAAAAGCAAAGGGACGTGAGTACACAATTCAAGGAAGGCAGTTGAATGGTCAAAGAAGGAATACTCAGGCAGATGTGATGGTATTGGAAAGGTCTGTGTTGTGCAGTACAGTAGCCACTAGCCACTGTGGCTATTTAAATTATTAAAATCAGATAAAATAAAAATTTGTGTCTGACTCACACATGCCACATTTCAAGTGTCAATGGCCACAAATGGATGTGGCTGTTGTATTGGATAACACACATACAGATCCTTTCCATCACGGCAGAAAGTTCTGTTAGCACTGTTCTAGATAATAATGTGGGTGGGTTAGTGCTTGGGTGTTTATTATTTTTCAAATGTGTGTATGTGTATATTCATATATGTTATTTAGTTTGTATTAAATATTAAGTTATAAAAAATTCTCTGATTCCCTAATTCCTATTTCCTACTCCCCTGGCTGAGTTACCTTGATCAGGTAACTTAACCTAGATTTGCTCACTCATAAGATGGTAAGATTGGTCTTGATCTGGAGGATTCCTTCCTGCTAAAAAATTTTTTATGAAATGATGACACAAAGTATTCCTCAATGTTCCCTACATTTGAGCAATGTCATAAGAGTATTCTTGATTTATAAATATCAGTCTACTAAATAAACATACTTTAATATATTAGGTACAGTTAAGATTTTAGTAACATCAATTTTGCAATCTTACTAATTTTTGTGACAGTATAATTGCCTTAGTTTTAGAGTCTCATGGGCGATTTTGCCTCTTTAGTGACACACCTGCACTCTTTAAGCATATGACATTATCTGAGGCACATTTCCTTAGAGAATATTATACAGATTTCTCTTAGTACAGGAGCAGTAATGGAATATGTCTTAATGTTGCATTAAGAAGATATATTTTGTTTCATATAGTGGAAATGACCTGAATATTTTTTTAAAAGACATAAAATAGAGCTTTACTTCTTTGGACATCAAAAAGACAAATCACATATTTGACTTATCATGGTGACTTGGGTTTTCACGCCCTAAGGAAGAGTGCTTTTGCCCTTTTTGAACAAACTTTTGTAGCAGTTTTGCAATTCATTCAATTCTGGTATATAGTTATTTCTTTAGCTATTAATAATCATATTTTCTCTGAATGTTAAGGATCTAGAAAACAGCTTATAATGTTAAGTAGAAGACAAAACAAAAATTGTTTTGTTTATATAAATGTATATTCCAGGTGACAACAATGCAGCCTTTTGTACGCCTGTGTACTGTTTGGAGTTGGGACGATTTCATTCACTTTTGTTTATCCTGGATCAGGGACTCTGAATCTGGGTCTCCTTTCACTCTGCTGTAGTTAATACTGATCAGTTCTTAGTTTTGTTGCTCAGTCCTGTGGATCACAATTGCTTCCTATATCCACTGTACTCAGGTCAATCTGCCTCTTTGTTAAATGCCACCCAACCAGCTTATCTTTATTAAAGGCATACCCTGTGCTACATACTGTAGGGAGATTCAGAGATGAAGAGGTGACTCCTGTCCTCAAATGGTTAATGGTAATAGCCTTTTTCTTCTACCAAATTCTTTCCCATCTTAAAATGACCTTACAGGAAGAGAAGTATCTTCCCTGTAATTTTCTGTACTGTTCTAGACCCTGAGGTGAATTGTAGATAGCTTTTCCTTGAGGCCTTTGTGTAATTTAGGTAGGCTTTATGTTGTTTCATTGTTTCTGGTCTGTACATCTTTGTATACATATTTTGATATCTCACTTTTACATATGTTAATCATGAGATCCTCATAAACATGTGTTGATGTTGGTAGGCAGTAGAGCTATCTCTCTTCTGCAGATAAAAAATTTAAGACTCAGAGAGGAAACAGGATCAATTAGCAGTCATTCCCCATTTCCTCCCAATCTCCTCCAGCCCTGCACACCCACTCATGTACTTTCTGTTTCCATGGATTTGCCTACTCAGGATATTCCATGTCTGTCACACACCGTGTGGCCTTTTGTGTCTGGTTTCTTTCACTTAGCACGTTTTCAAGGTTCATCCATGTGGTAGCATGTATCAATCAGTTCTTTATTTTTATGACTGAATATTTCCATTTTATGGATAGATCACATTTTATCCATTCATCAGTTGGTAGACATTTGGATTATTTTCACTTTTTGCCTGTATGAATAATGCTGCTGTGAACAGTTGTGCACAAGTCTTTGTGTGGGCATACGTTTTCATTTTTCTTGGGTATATACCTCAGAATGAAATTGCTGGGTTGAATGATAACTCTGTGTTTACTCTTTCCAGTAAATGCTAGACTCTTTTCCAAAGCAGCTCACCACTGCACCACCAACAGTGGTATATGTATATGAGGGTTCTGATTTTTCCACAATCTCTCCCACACTTGTTATTGTCTGTCTTTTTAAAATTATAGTCTGTATTTTTATTGTAGTATGACTCTTCCAGTTTTTTTTTCATTCTTTTTAAAGATTGTTTTGGCTGTTGTGGGTTCCTTGAGTCTCCATATGAATTGAAGAACAGTTTAAAAAATTTTTGCAAACAAATAAAAAAAAGCCCGCTGGGATTTTGATAAAGATCGTTGGCTATTGACTCTGTTGGGAGCATTGTCATCTTAATGTTAAGTCTTCTGCTCTATTACCAAGGAATAGCTTTCTATTTATTTATACCTACTTTAATTTCTTTCAACAATATTTCATAGGTTTTAGAGCCTAGGTTTTGCATCTTGTTAAATTTATTCTGAAGTACTTTATTCTTTTTGATGCTGTTGTAAATGTAATTGTTTTCTCAAATTCATTTTTAGAATAATAATAGACTCTTAACATACTTTTTTTTCTTTTATTTAATCCTCAGCACAAGTCTGTGAGGTGGGTATTATTTCTCTTTGCAAATGAGAAAATCAGTTCAAAGGAATTAGATGATTTTGCCCACAGGGCAACCAAGGTAGTGTTCCTGGGAGTGCATCTGGATGAACGAGCAGACACTTCACTCAGCCTGACTGCGCACCTTTGCATGCTTTCTGTTCTCCCTTTGAAACCCAAGGTGCAGCACCAGGAGGGTTGGAAGGGAAATCCAGGGTGTCTCCAGTGAATGAATGAGGTGTTCAAGAATAAGAGTTGGATCTTAAACAACGATGACAGGAGCGATAGGTACATCCTGCCCTACTTCTTAAGCCTTCAGGAGGTGTTTGGAGGCAGTATGATTTCGTGATTAAAGGCGCAGGTCCTAGGTTTGAGCTCTGGCTTTGCTACTTAACTTACTATCTAATTCAGCAGGTTATTTTGATCCTCAGCTTTCACTTTCATCTTCATAAGGCCATTATTAAAAGGGCTAAATCAAATACTATTCATGTTTGTAAAAGTCAGAGCCTAGAGCGTAGTATACATAGTAAGTGTTCAGTTAAATGTTAATTGTAATTGTTCTGTTGCCTATAGATTTATTCTTAGTCCGTGTTCATTTTTCTCTTTTCAGTACAAGTTCAGGGATCTAACTGTGGAAGAACTAAAGAATGTCAATATGTTTTTCCCACATTTCAGATATTCCATGGACACCTATGGTAAGAATCACATTCTCTAGTTTTTGCTATATTATATAAACTGTTAATTATTTCTTCCTGGAGAGCTACAAAATTACAATTTCTCATTTCTCTCTTTTATCCCCTGATTTTGAACTGCACTTTGTGTCCTGTATCTCTGAGGAAATTTAAGTTACAATTTATACTGTATTAATTTTCTATCGCTGCCATGACAAATTAGCAGAAATTCAATGGCATAAACTAACACATATTTGCTATCTTACAATTCTATAGGCCAGAAGTCCAGCACAGGTCTCCGTAGGTTAGAAGTCTGGGCTAAAAATCAAGGTGCTGGCAGATCTCAGTTCCTTTCTGAAGGCTCTGGGAGAGAATCCATTTCCTCGCCTTTTGTCACCTTCTAAGGGTCACCCTCAGTCTTCGGCCCCAGGTCTCCTTCATCTTCAAAGCTAGCAGTGCCGCCTCTCTCTCACTGTCCTTCCACAGTCACGTCACCCTCTGTCCACAGCTAGGAAAATTCTCAGCTTTTAAGGACCAATGTGATTAGTTTAGTTCTCATGTAATACAGAATAATTTCACATCTCAGCGTTCTGAACTGAATTACATCTAAAAAGCCTCTTTGCCAAGTAGGGTTAACATATTCACAGGTGCTGAGGATTAGGGTATTGGAGATCTTTGGAGGCCATTATTTTGCCTACCACATACATAGATGGTTGATTTAAAATTATTAATAACAAAGTTTTAGTTACCTTGTTCACTTAATATAGAGTGTCTGGCTACCTAAGAAAGATTCTACTTTACTGTCTTTCAAAAATTCCTGACCACAGCCCACACTGGGAAATACATTTTATATTATGACCTCATATATACATAACTAAAATATCGTGGACACTCTGACATTTTCTCTTCTGTTCATTTCGTTCCATTTAAAAACAAATGCTGATTAAGACTCGCTAAATGAATTTCAGGACCCATGAATTAGTCAAAACACATAGTTTTGAAAAACTTTTTTGTTCTACGTGAGTATGTTTTAGATTTGAATTAGTTTGGGTTAAGGAAAAGTAATTCAGATTTATATCTTGAGGAATCTTCTTGAGGAAGATTTGTATCTTGAGAAATTTTGAGAAGTTAATGAAGTATTTCTTAGGAATAGCTAATTTTATATGTGGAAGAAATTATTAGATTCTGGCCCATCTGTGACTAGCCTGTTTTGATTGACAAAGAGGCTTTTTAGATGTAATTAAGTTAAGGACCCTGACATGGGAAATTATCCTGTATTATAGGAGTAGGACTAACCTAATCACATTGGTCCTTAAAAGCAGAGAAAGTTTCTAGCTGTGGATAGAGGGATATTTGACTACAGAAGGACAGTGAGAGAGATGCGGCACTGCTAGCTTGAAGATGAAGGAGACCTGGAGCCGAAGAATGAGGGTAACCTTTAGAAGGTGACAGAAGGCGAGGAAATGGATTCTCTCCCAGAGCCTTCAGAAAGGAACAGATTTGCCAAAGCCTGGGATGGGGAATGTAACAGCTACTACTTACCGAGTGTCAGATATGCTTCCAAAGGTTTTATCTGACATACATATTTTTTTACAACCAAAGCTGTAAGTTAAGTATTATCATCTTTATTTTTCAGATAAAGAAACCAAGACTCAGAGTTTAAGTAAAGTGCTCAAGATTACACAACTAGTTAGGGAGAGAGTTGGGGTTTGTACCCATGTCTGTCTTCCCCCTCTGCCTGAAAATTGCTTGTTCCTTTAAAGTGTGTTTCTTTATTATACAGATTTATTACTCCAGTTACTTCTTATTCTCATTTCACCTTGTCTAGAGAAGGTGAGCTATGGTGCCCTTAGACCCTCAAGCTATGAGATTTATATTGTCAATGTATATTTTATTGAAGACAATGATAGTCATTCATCTTAATCACTTTATTTTAGATTTTTTAATAATTTAATTGGATAATAAATATTTATACCTATAGTTTCTCTACCACATTTCTAGGCTATTCTGTGTCCCTGAGTAACAATCCCTGTTCCACACCTCTTTCCATTTTAATTTCTGCTGTGGAGTGATCTCTTCACCCATTGTTACCTTTCATTTATGTATTATAGTTCAAGGTAAACATTTGTACTTTTGTACTGTCTTGGACTTGAGTCTTCTGCGAGCTTGATTTCCTCTTTTCCCTTTCTAATAGACATCAAATCTACTTGGATTTTTTTTTTTCCCCACTAAATAACAGTTACTGAGGTACTAAAAGGAATACATTCCAAGGCAGTATGATAGTTCGAAGCCAAGATAGCCTTTCCTGTGTTCAGTTCAGAGATTAGAACATTAGTTCTCCACCAGTGTGTCCCAGTTATTGATGGGTAACTTGAAATTTCAGGGATTTGAAGATTGAATAAAGATTGAGAATAATGGAGTTAGAACAACCAAGGAAGATAATTATTGATCTTTGTAAAAGGTCACTCTAAAAAATAAAGCTAACAGTTTTTTCTGATTATAAAAGTTATAATCTGATTTCTGAACGTGATTGTAACTGATTTCTTACATGTGACAATTATTTGATAATGTCCCCACATTTTATAATCCTTTGTTTTTTTTTCACATTGTCTTATTAGATCTTTATGACAACTTTATTATGCAGTATTATTATCTTTTTTTCATGGATGATCAAACTGAAGGCCAAAGAGATTAAAGTAACCAAAAATCACATGCCTCTAAGTGGAGAAGGTGGACCTAGAACTTGGGATTTCATATCAAAGTCCTGGTTTTTTCACCTACTCTTTCTGCTTTCTAAGAAAAAAACATTTAGTAATTTCCCTTTGTCAACATTTTCACTGATTCCTAGATTGTGGTATTTAGAAATTGTATGTTTCTGTAAATGTGTATGTGCATATGCATGTTATCTGCCATTGGGTCAGCTTTGACTCCTGGTGACCCTACTTTAATGCCCTTCTTCCAACTTCTGGCTGCATATTTTGAGGCTCTTTTTTTCCTTTCAGTTTTCAAAGATGATTCACAGAAAGACTTGCTGAATTTCACTGGTACTATTCCTGTCATGTATCAGGGTAAGTGTGGAAGTTGAAAAATTGTGGGAATTTTCTAAAAGAACCGTTTAATAAAAACTTCTGTTTGTTTAGTGCCATAATATCCTCAAAGTGTTTTTACATGTGTATGGGCTATACAGAACCTTACTGAATACAGCTGACTACTGTCCCAGTCAAGGAAGGCCCAGATTAATATCAACAGATTCAATTCAATTCAGTAAATATTTATCAAATGTCAACTATGTACGCACTGCTCTGCTCAGTGCTGGAGCTCAGAGGAGAGCAAGGCAGACACAGGCCTGCTCTGCTGGAGAGTTACCACTGTTTCCCATAGCGGACTGCGGGAGCCCCCGCCTTTTTCTTCATCACATCAATGGACAGTTCCCCTGCCTTTCCCTCTATGTGATGCATCAGTATCCCTGTTCTACAGATGAAACTAAGTGTAAGCCTAGTCAAGTGATTTACCTAAGACCACGCATCTGGTATCAGGCTAGAACTTCGGACTCCCAATAGGAAAATTTAAAACATAGGGCTCATTAAAGCTCAGAGAAAGCAACACATTTTCAGTGACCTGACAGGTTAAAATAGCTAAGTGTTTTCCCAAAAAGAAAAAAAATAAATCACTAATTCCCTATACATAACTCTTGGTATTTGTCCAGACCTAGTTCCTCCAATATTCAAGAGGACTAACCTTTAAGGTAGATATTACAGGAGAATGCTTATATAGTGTGATTTGAAGAACACCAGTGAAGTGTTTGTTCCAACATATTTCTCTTAAGTGGTGCCTGAAATTTCACCATTAAAAATTTATTCCTCTTTTAAAATGCAAAGAATCCCAAGAGGGATAATGCCCAAAATCACTACTATACAGTGCTGTGCTTATAGAAAATGTTCGGTGAATAGTTGAATGAATGCATTAGTTTATTACTGACTGAAGGACTGAGGAATGAATGAAATAACTGGGCATTTGAAAAGGGGCTGAGGAGGATCTGGAAACCATGTGGGAGGAGAATAGTAGAGTTTACTGTCTCTTACAAAGTGTTGGCACTATGTAACGTGAATACATTGCCCAAAAGACACCAAGAAGCTATATGTTGGGAGACTTTTTTGACAGTATGTGCTTCATTATGGTAGTCCCTAGATTATTAGAAACTTTCCTTAATTTCTACCTCTCTATAATGACTTATTGCTGGAAGCGCACTTTAATTTTATTCTGCCTCTGTTTATGTCCCACCATAACACCTCTTTTGGCACAGGAAATGCATAGGAATTTAGTTTGGTTTTTACACATAGGAATGCACTAAAAGTAGGTAGCAATGGGCTCTGCAGAATTTGCAGCAAGGTAGGCAGGACAGGCATAAGGTTTATTTTTATTTTCCTTTCATGCTCCTCTCCTACAAAGCTGTCAGACTATTTTCTGGCTGCCTGGAGAACTTTACTCAGACCTGTTCCCCACTATTTGTGTTCTGCACTTCTTATGGTAAGATGTTAGAAATAGAGAGAAAGAATCCCTACCCACCCCAATGACTGACTGACTGACTGACTTCACAATTCTTACCCATCCCAGTAATTTCAAGGATAGGTGCATAGTAACAGAGGAGCTTCTGAATTTAAATGAATCATTGCTTAGTAGCATTTCAGTTTCTAGAACAGTGTGGGGAGGTAACAGGAGGGCGTACAAGTTATCTTAATACCATCGGTAAGATGCTCTTCATTGGCAATCCCACTCTCCTGGTGCCATGGAGTCGTGTCATTGATTCTAATGCTTGCTGGGTCTTTCAAGGTAGTGATTGTACCTCCAATACTTTTTTTATTGGCAGTACACTTTTTTTTTCCTTTGCTTTTTTTAAAATAATTTTTGGGATTGATTTTATCTGCGTTTCTCACAGTAGTTAGAGCCACTCTGTCTTCAGAACAATCACAGCACAAGAAATGTGTCACCAAGACTGCCCAGAAAGTCTGACCAGCTGAATCTTATTGTTTAAAATACACATATTCCACTCCCAAATAGTGATGTGCCTCACACAGGAATGTGTTAGCATTTACAAATCTTCTGACTAGCACAGAACCCTCTACCAACACCTTCCTTCTCATTCTTTTGGAAAGCCAAACAATCAAATCTCCCTGGCACCCTAATAGTCTTTCTATTCCCCATTTCCATCTCTCTGCACTCAGGGTGGCCTCCTAGAGCAGGGCACAGGTTGGACTGCTGGAATCAAGTCCAGCTACCCAGGTTCCGTTATCTCCTTCTCCTGTCTTGAGGGTTGGACTCTACAGGGAACCTTAGCACTCAGACCAATTCTCCACTCAACTGGGGAAGGAAACTTGGGAGGGCCAGGATTCATCCATTTGATCGGCTAACTGAAGGAGGATTCATTTTGGTAAAACTTGATTCCTGGAAGACACGTCAGTGGGTTGTTTGGGAATTTTTTTTTAAATGATGGAGGCAAGGACAAGCATCTGAGGGCTGCTGACGCACTGCCGCCCACTCAGACCAATTCCCCACTCTGATTGGGGAAGGAAATTTGAGGGGCCAGAATTCATTCATTTGATCCGTTAACTGAAGGAGGATTCGTTTTGTTAAAACTTGATTCCTGGAAAAAGGACTTGATTCCTTATGCTACTACAGTTGTGCCAATTTTCCTCCTTTCCACCCTCCAATCAGCACCCCCTACTCCCTCAGGCAATTCCCCGCACCATTGTTCATGTCCATGGGTCATGCGTATTCATGATTCGGTCTCTCTTCTTCTTTGCAAAGCTTGTTTTTTGGATTCAGTTGTTGACAGGTATGTATTTATTGCCATTTTATTGTTTGTAGTTTTGCTCTTCTTTTTCCTAAATAAGTCCCTTTAACATTTCATATAATAATGGTTTGGTGATGATGAACTCCTTCAGTTTTTTCTTGTTTGGGAAGCTCTTTGTCTGCCCTTCCATCCTAAATGATAGCTTTGCTGGGTAGAGCAGTCTTGGCTGTCAGTCTCTGCTTTTCATGACTTTGAATATTTCTTGTCAATCCCTTCTAGCCTGCAAAGTTTCTTTTGAGAAATCAGCTGACAGTCTTATGGGAACTCCCCTGTAGGTAACTAACTGCTTTTAAGAGTCTTTATCTGTAACCTTTGGCATTTTAATTATGATGTGTCTTGGAGTGGGCCTCCTTGTAGACATCTTGTTTGGGACTCTCTGTGCTTCCTGGACTTGCATGTCTATTTCCTTCACAAAATTAGGGAAGTTTTCATTCATTATTTTTTCAAATAGTTTTCCAATTTCTTGTTCTTTCTCTTATTCTGGCACCACTATGATGTGAATGTTGGACCTCTTAAAGTTGTCCCAGAGGCTGCTTATACTATCCTCCTATTTTTGGATTATTTTTTCTTCTTTTTATTCTGATCGGTTGTTCTTTGCTTCCTTATGTTCCAAATCAGTGATTTGATTCTTGACGTCATTCACTCCACTGTAGTTTCACTGTAAATTGTTCTTTATTTTAATTAGTATACCCTTCATTTCTGAATGCATCTTTTTTATGCTGCTGAGGTCTTCACTAAGTTCCTTGAGCATCCTTATAACCAGCGTTTTGAACTCTGTGTCTGACAGCTTGCTTATCTCCCTTTCATTTAGCTCTTTTTCTGGAGTTTTGATCTGTTCTTTTATTTTGACCGTATTTCTTTGTCTCCTCATTTTGCCAGCCTCCCTGTGTTTGTTTCTATGTATTAGATAGAGCTGCTTTGACACCATGTCTTGGTAGAGTGTCCTAATGTAGTAGGTGTCCTGTAGGGTCAAGTGGCACAGCCTCCTCTATCACCCAAGCTGAGTACTCAAGTAGCACCCTTCATGTGGTCTGAGTACACTCTCCTCTTGTAGTTTAATCTTGGTTGCTCTTACCAGATCAATAGGAGGGATTTACCCAGGCCAGTCAGCTGCAAGGATTGGCTGTGACCACTGACCACCAACCACTGCTCTGCATGGAAGGTCAACTGTGCAGTGGCAGGGTGGTGGTGCTGTGACATTGTCTGTAGCTGTCCACTGGATGTGCTTGCCCTGGGGTTTCCCCTGTGGTACAGGTCAAAGTCAGCCCCCACCTGTGTTTTGCCCGGGGCCACCCTGGCTGAGCTATAGAGCAATCTGACATGGCTGTTACTTGTGCTGGGCTTGGAGATTCCCAGCCAGATTATTCTTATTAAAGCTCAACTGGCTATTTGAAGCCAAACTGCAGTAATAAGGATCCTGTGGTCCTTCTGGTTGGCTGCCTTCACCCACACCTCTTGGGCCATTTAGACTCTTTACATAGGCTATAACAGGTGGGGGAGGAAAAAGGCATGAAAACCACATGTAACCAAGGCATTTTTCCCCCAAGTGGTCAGTTTAAAAAAACAAAAAACAAAAAACTTATTCAGAATCAAGAGAAAATACTGTGTGAGAGCCAGGCTGCTCTTTCTCAGGACACACAGCCTCCTCATTTGTTCATGTAGAATAATGAGACATAAAGGCCTGCAGACTGTGTGCTTGGGATGGGGCAGGGCCCTGTGTGGACCCAGACCAAAGGGCAGCGATGCAGAAAGCTGCACCCCTACTTGCTGCCATGACTTAGGGCCTCCTGTGCACCCACAGAAGTTCCAGAGACAGCCACCACCCAACCTGGCACACAAAACATCTCCTTCTGGCTCTATTACACCCAGGCTCTTTGAAAGCCAGCTTGGGTACAAGAGTATACAAGAGTCTATGTTTATTGATTTTAGGGAGAGAGAAACATTAATCGGTTGCCTCCTACACACACCCTGACTGGGGTTCGAACCAACAACGTAGGTATGTGCCCTAGCCAGGAACCAAACCCAGAACCTTCTGATGTATGGGACAGTGCTCCAACTAACTGAGTCACCTAGCCAGGGCTTCCCCTTTGCTTTTGGCTAGAATTATATCAATTCATTGTGATGCACATTAGTTATTTCTTGCTGATCAGAGGTCAGAATTTATTATCTTTCTAATCAAAAGGGCCAATATAAGTGGTCACTTTGTGGTACCATGATCACATGACTTTATAATCATAGAGTTACTTATAGACCAATAGGTATGCCCATCTATACCTATATTGTTAATATTTAGACACTGTGTATGGTGAAGGATGTTAACTAACTGTGGTGACATACCTCAATAAAAACATTTTTAAATAATTAGACAAAAATAGAAAAGGAGTATGGAGTCAAGTAACTCAGTAGGACCAAGCTTGGGGAGAGGCGAGGAGGAGAAGAAACAAAGAAAGAAAACTTTACAGGAGCAGCCATGGGTATAGATGGAAACTCAGGAAAGCATGATGTCTTGGAAGCCATGAGGAGACACTTAATGCAAGATGAAGAGAGCTCTTGATACTTCAAAAGCTTATGATACATCAAATCTTGCTATGTAGACACAACCGGTTTTGCCTTGTGGTCAAAATCCAGAGCAATAAAATAGAAATCATAGTGAAGATAAAATAAGGAAAAATAAAAAATGGAGAGATGGAGAATGAGATAAAGAGGATGAAAAGGGAAAGGATATAAAAGAGAAACTGGAAGAGGAAAAAGAGGAGGTGAAAAAAGAAGAAAAATTGGAAAATGAGGAAGAACATGTAGAGAACATGTAGTCAGTAAACCCCTCCTGGCCACTCTCTGGGCAAAGTTTAAGTTGCATTTGAATATAACATGACAGAAAAACAGGTAAACCAATGGTTTGTTTGTTTTTTAAGATTTTTTTTTTTTTTTTTTTTTGAGAGAGGGGAAGGCAGGGAAAAAGAAAAAAATCGATGTGTGAGAGATACATCTGTTGGTTGCTTCTCGCACACCCTCAACTGGGGACCTGGCCTGCAACCCAGGCATGTGCCCTGACTGGGGATTGAACCTGCAACCTTTGGTTTGTAGGCCAGCACTCAATCTACTGAGCCACACCAGCTAGGGCTAAATCAATGTTTTTTAAAAAGGAAGGAGCAATTCAATAAAGAAATATATAAGCGGAAATATAAGAGAAAGCTCAAGAGAGAGAGAGGCAGGGGGAGAGAAAGAGAGGGAGAGAAACATCAACATGAGAAACATCAGTCAGTTGCCTCTTGCATGCAGCCCATCTGGGGACTGAACCTGCAATCCAGACATGTGCCCTGACCAGGAATCGAACCTATGACCTTTCACTTTGCATGTCAGTGCCAACCAATTGAACCACATGTCAGAGCTAAACAAGAAAATACTAATTTTTAATTCTGTGGAGAACTGGATGAGAGGAGTGCAAGGAAGTTTCTAAACATTCTGTTTTTACACTACTGTGGATCTAAAGTTTTATAATGTAAGTTCATTGATTTTATTTAATTAAAAAATCAGTGAAGAAATTACTAATCTCTGTGGAAATGTTCATAGAATAAAAGGGAAATCTGCTATAGAAAAAAAAGGAAGAAAAGAAAAGAAAAGGAGTATGGCTCTGGGAACTGCTGATATGAAATAGTAGGTCAGTTTTAGGACATTTCTATAATGTACTGATTTTCTATCCTAGCTGCATGTTAAGAATTACACAGAAAGCTTTTTATTTTTATTTATTTTTTTATCCTCACCCAAGGACTTTTTTTTCATTGCTTTTAGCGATAGAGGAAGGGAGAGAGAGAAGCTTCGATGTGAGAGAGAAACATCAACTGATTGCCTTGCATATGTGTCCAGATCAGGGATCGAACCCACAACTTAGATATATGCCCTGACTGGGAATCGGACCTACAACCTTTCAGTTACAGGGCAACCCTCCAACCAACTGAGCCACACTAGCCAGGGCCATGGGAAGCTTTTTAAAAAGGATGTCCATGCCTCATCCCATTGAATCAGAAACTTTGGGGGAGTGGCCTGGATATAGGTATGTTTTGAAGTTCTTTAAATATTTCTAATTTGCAGGCACTGTGATTATTATTGTGCTTAGGGGAGGAGTAAGTAAGCAAGATGAAAAAAGTAACTTTCAGTGAAAGGAGGAGTTCCTTAGTAAGAAAAGAGTTGCAGTGGGAAAGAAAATGTCTTATTTATACCTGACCTATTTAGAAAATGCAAACATTGCGAACCCTTCATGGTACTTACCATGTCATATATTGTTGTAAGCATTTTACTTACATATATTAACTAGTTTCATCCTCACAACAACTCTCTGAGATAGGAGCTGCTATTATCCCCATTTTATAGAGGAAGAAACTGAGACATTTTATAGAGGAAGGAATTGAGACACAGAGAAGTTAAGTTGCCTGAAATCATATAGCTGGTAATGTGTGAAGCCTATGCATTCTTGCTTCTAAGCAGCCATGTTCTTCAGTACAGTGAATGACAAGCAATAAAACTGTGAAAGCAGGAATAAATGTCAGGAAATAGAATAAAAGAGCCAAGGTAATTGATCAGATTTTTAGTTTAAGTTTAGCTTTTATACTTTTAGGTTTAGCTTTGGGCTTCCTGGCAACCCAGGCAGTCAGATTTTGGCTCTGAGTAGGCCTGACCCCCGTGAGTGCAGTTGAAGGAGCATACAGGCAAGTTCCTATCTCAGCGCCCCAAAACGGAAGAACCGCTGGACAAGGGGGCTGTTAGGGTTATTTTCAGCACTGAGCCCATATATCGGAACTAGCTTGTATGTTACAGTACCTGCTATTAGTGAGCAACTTGAAGGCCAGTATCAAATTCATCTTTACTTATTCATTTATTTCTCATTTGTTTATTAATTCAGTCATTCTTAATTATGTAAGAAACCTTTATTGAGCAGCCGGTACATTAGGCACTTGGTGCAGGGGATATAGAAATAAATGATACATAATCCTCTCTTAGGAAGAAGTTTACAATGTAAAAGAAGAGACAGAACTGTAAGCAAATTACTTTAATGCAGAAGTATAAAAATATAAGGGTCCACTACCATTCAAGAAAGGTGTAATAGTTCTGCTCAGGTGGACAAAAACAATTATATAGAGAAGATGGTATGTCCCAAACTCCTGACACAGTAGGTCCTGTCAATATTTATTGAATTGAATTGGATGTCTTAATTAAATTTCCTCAAATATTATGCTGGTGATTTTATGGGAACATATTTCCAATGTTAGTGTAGATGAAATGGGGAAAATAGGCCTCAGTATACATAAATTCTTTATATATGAATTGACTATGCATCTTAAAATGCCACCTAGTTATGCCGTAGATAAATATATGTGTTCTTATTATTGTTTGAAGTGTGTTTATTTTGTCTCAAATAGGTAATACATATAACATACCAATTCGTTTGTGGATTTTGGATTCTCACCCTTTTGCTCCCCCCATTTGCTTCTTAAAGCCAACTGCAAATATGGAAATCTCAGTTGGAAAACATGTGGATGCTCAAGGCAGAATATACTTGCCCTACCTCCAAAACTGGAGCCATGTAAGATCAATTTGGATTTTCTTTTAAAAGTTCTTATTTTTCTGAATATTTATATTTGATCCTAGTGGATCAAAGTAACAAATAAGTTACAGAATTTTCTTTCAATGATATTCTTCATATGGTCTTTAAAAGTAACTTGAAATTGTGCTCCCAGGGGCCATCTGAGTCCCAGAACCCTAATGACAGCAGCCTGCCTGAAGCTGCTGCCTGCAAGTCTAGGAGCCAACTGTTGTTTGCTTCCTATCTTTTCATAATTGTTTGCTGCTTGATAAAGGACATGTAAAGCTACTAGCAAGATATTGGGCATTATTTTCTAGTCCCTCTCTGTTAAAGATACTTAGATGATATATTTACTTACTTGTAGTTTTGCCTGTTTATAACCTTTAACAAATTGAATCATGTAATTTTCTGTTACGTGCTTTGTTTCAACTGAGCATTAAATTTTAAAAATTCACTCATGTTGATGTAACTGTAATTTACTTGTTTTACAAATCCTCATATTATGCAATTTAGTATTCTGCATTTTTCATCTACCATTATATTGAGCACTGATAAATCTCTAGGAATGGAATAATTGGATCAAAGGTTATAAATATTTTGAAGGTTCTTCTTATCTATTGCCAAATGGCTTCCAAAAAGTAGACAAAATGTTGCATGTCTACCATCAGTAGAAATCAGTGTAGGCAAGTACCTGTTTTACAACACCCTTGCTGTAATAGAAGGTATTATTAAAACAAAATAAACTTTTGCTTATGCCTTTACATTTACTTTAAAATGCTCTCATTTTTATAAGTAATTAAAACCTTTATGAAAGGATAATTTATAATATTTTTATATACACCCAGGAAGTTGTAGAATAGAAGGATAGGGCTATATGAGAGTCAAGTGAGGTTGCTGTAATGGGTGGCATTAAGATTATCACTTCTTATTTTATATACATCCCAAAAAAAGGTGTGCAATTGTGGATATGTTTTACTTTATTTATGGTTTCCATATTTTTCATATATATAAAAAACCTTTAAAAAGAAGGCAAAAAAGGAATAGTAAAAGAAAGAATTTACAATAATTTGTCAGTCGTGGAATTTATATGGAAAAACATTGACTGTTTATTGGCTGTTTTATGAACTTGTACATTAGTTGTATTAGTTGGTTTTAAAAAAGATCTCTAGTTAAATGTTATGATGGGGGCTTGATAAAAATTAGTCCATTGGAAGGCCAAAAATGATGTCTTAATCTTAATGCTTAGTTCTTCGGTTAGTTGAGAAATTAAAATCTTTTTCATATAGTTATTGATCATGTATATTTCTCTTTTTTTGAATTGCCTCTCTCCTTCATCCTTATTACCCTTCTTTCTCTCTTTTCTCTTCTTCTTTTTTTTTTTTTAAGGTTTTATTTATTTATTTTTTTGAGAGGGGAAGGGAGGAAGAGAAACATGAATGTGTGGTTGCATCTCACGCGCCCCCTGCTGGGGACATGGCCCGCAACCCAGGCATGTGCCCTGCACTGGGAACCCAAACAGCGACCCTGTGGTTCACAGGCGGGCGCTCAATCCATTGAGCCACACCACCTAGGGCTCTTTTCTTTTTTTAAAAACTATCCTCAAAAGGTATTTTGACATCTGTACCCTGTTGTGGGAATCTGTATTTCCTGTTTCCTCTTTCTGATTTTATTGGGCATCGCTTTTCACAGTATTTTTTGTTTGTTTGTTTAATAAATATTCAGAGATAGTCCTGTAATCTAGTTGAGGTTGTGCTTGATTTCAGTTCAGACAGTATTGATTTCATTTTACTATTCTGAGCTTCTATATTATAAACAACTAGTCTTAAAAAGACATTACATTATTTAAATTACCCTATTTAAAATTACTAGTAATTTTAAGTTCCACATACTCTTGTACAGTTGGAATTATAATTATGTAGTATAATTATATAGAATTTTGGAGCTAGAAAGAATCTAGAGGTTGTTTAGGCCAAGGATTACATTTTCCCCAAGAGATTCAGCGTGCTGTGTTAGGCCTATAGAATTTTGTTGGAATGGCACAATAGTTTTGTTTTGCTTTGTTTCATTCTTTTCTTTCTTTTTTGTTGTGTTTTGTTATTAATGTGAATTTGAATGCCTATACATGTACTCTTTCCAATCTGCCACAATAACAATCTCCCCTAATTTTCTTATCCTTAACCACTTCACAAATATGTTATCTTTCTTGGTCTTTAAAGGTGTTTGAGTGTTTGATCCTAATGGCCTCATCCTCTTATTTTATAAATAATGAAATCCAGACACTGAGAATTTAAGCACTTTTTAAAATTACTAGATATGAGCAGACTACTAGATATTCCTAACAATAATAGACATCAATTTTTTTGTGTGTGTAAACAAATACTGATATTTTTTATTTTTTTTCAACTTTCCAAAAAGTTTTATTTTTTTATTTTTTATTTTTTTTTAAATTAATTTATTTACTTTTTAAATACATTTGTCTCTGCCTTCCCCCCACCTCTTTCCCTTGCCCCCTCCCACCTTCCCTCCCTCAGCTCTTCCCCTTTGGTTTTGTCCATGAGTCCTTGCTATATGTTCCTTGACTTTCCCCTTCCCTTCCCTTTCCCTGCCCCCCCCTTCCCTCTTGTCTCTGTTGATTTCTTTTCCTTTCAGTGTTGCTGGTCATATTTTCCTTGCTTCTTTGCATTGTTGGTTAGGTTCCGCTTATAGGTGAGATCATATGGTATTTGTCTTTCGCCCCCTGGCTTATTTCGCTTAGCATGATGCTCTCCAGTTCCATCCATGCTGTCGCAAAGTTTAGTACTTCTTTTTTTCTTTCTGCTGCGTAGTATTCCATTGTGTATATGTACCATAATTTTTATACTTAGAATGTATAGTTTGTATGCATTGGCTCATTTGTTTCTCCTAACAGCCACTTGGAATTTATTATTCACATTATGTTGCTGATAACACTGAAGCTAAGACAGGTTAAATGAATTTCACTAAGGTTGCTTCACCAGTTAAATGAAAAGAAACAGTACCAGATTAGATAATATTTGTCAGTGCTAATGTTCTGATTTGATAATGGTTACATAAGTACTTTGCTAGTAAGCACATTAATGTTATTTTTCCACACTTCGGAGACATGGATTTAGTATTTCTTCGCTTTTCAGTTAAAAGATTTACATAATTTTTTAATTGAAAGTATTAAAACAGTTGAAGGTATCACCTAATTTACATGGTAGTTTTCAAGAAAAGAGAGCATAACATAGCACTTTGTTTTGGCTAACCAAAACAATGTTATAGGGTAACAAGGTAGTATTCGTTAGCAAAATTTTTGCATAACTCTTCCCTTTGTGTGTATTCTGCAGCCTAAATCTGTCATTGTAGGATTAATTAAAGAAATGATTGCCAAATTTCAAGAGGAACTTCCCCTGTATTCTCTCTCACAATCTGATGCGGCACGGCAAGTGGATTTGCTAGCCTATATTGCAAAAATCACTGAAGGTTGGTATTTTTGTTAAGCAGTTATAAGTTTAGAATTTCTCACTAATAGCCTCTACTCTCTGCTACTTTATTTTTATAAATAAATACATATATACAAACATATCTATGTTGAATAAAAAATTCCTGTGCATCTATCGTAGGGTATTACTTACCATACAGTTCCCATGAATATGGTTTCTTAAAATGTAAAAGATTACTTTTATACTGATAGATAAAAAGCAATTTGTGTTTTGTTCAATATCACTTGATATAGACAGGGATGGTTAAATTAGGTTAAATTAACAGCCATTATTACCTAAAAGATAAATCATAAATAAGGATACAAAATAATAACAATAGTAATAAAAAGAAGACAAATAATATAATAAGAAATAGTAATACAACAATGAACTGCTTCATGTACTCACAACTGAAAACCTACTTTTGCCCACCCTGTATTAATGATCCTAAACCTTTTTCCTTATATGTTTATGTGGCTTTTTGCCTCATTTCGATATATTGGACCTACAAATTCTATGATTCTCAGTGTTTCCATTGAGTATAAAGCAAAATACCCATGCTTGCAAAATTTTTTATGATAAATATTTTTTACATTTTAGACCAGAGCAGTAAGAATCAGAATAGTTTTTAGAATTATGAAAATCTGTATTTTTAGTCTTATATAATATTAAATGTTTGGAAGGATATTTTCCTTTTAAAAGAGTAGCCTTTATTTAGTGCAATATTTAATATTTAATATCAGGTTCCTGTCTTTCTAGCGTTTCATTAGTTCAGTAAGTATTTTTGAGTTCCTGTTATAGACTAGCACCATGTTTTCTGTCCAAGTTAATGAAGCTTGGTGTATTTTTTTTAAAGATGCTAAAGAGTTTTTTGATATTATTTTTAAATTGTCATGTTCATTCCCTTTTCTTTCTAGGTGTCTCAGACATAAATTCAAAGAACTGGGCAAATCATGAGAACAAAACAGTAAATAAAATTACTGTGGTTGGAGGTGGAGAACTAGGGATTGCGTGCACATTAGCAATTTCAGCAAAGGTATGAAAGCATAGTGGTTATAACTACATATATCATATCGCTACACTTTTGGGTAGTTTATGTTTAGTATACAAGAAATGATGGCTTCATTTTGTCATGTGAGAAAATCTCTTTTTGCCTTAAAATATATTTAGTTAATTGACAAAAACTAAAAGCTCTCATTAAGTTAGTCATAGAATAGGCTTTGAAAAAGTGATTTGAATAACAGGGTTATCAACCTAATTCAAGGGAAACCTCAACTTAACGTTCATTTGACTTAGTCATATATTCATTTGTTTTCTGAGTGATGCTGCTTTTTAAAAAAAGATTTACTTACTTATTTATTTTTAGAGAGAGAGGAAAGGATGGGGGGTTGGGAAATATCGATGTGCCGAGAAACACTGATGCATTGCCTCTCGCACACCTCTGAGTGGGAAGCTGGCCCACAGCCCAGGCACGTGTCTGGGCTGGGAATCGCACCTACCTGCGGCTTTGCGGTCTGTGGCATGACGCCCATCCCACTGAGCCACACCAGTCGGGGCTGAGTCATGCTGCTTTAATTAAACTCTTATTTAAGAACTTAATTTTAGCTCTTTCAAAAATTACTCAATACAATTTTTATAAGGTTGCCTTTTTTCATGTAATTACTGTACTTTCTTTAGGATTGTAGTTCCTGAATTGATAGTTTGAGATTTATTTTTCATTAGTCCTTTTCACTAGATATTTTCTATACAAATTATTTTTAGAAAGGCACTTAAATCCCCTTCCGAAGTGGTTCAAATGGCCCTCCAGGGCCCAGTGTCATGGTAACAATATGTCTATGTCATTTGAGGAATATAGTCCAGAATAGAATAGCTGTCCTTTTATATATTTATTTGGTAGCTGTCATTTGGTTTTCTAATCTATTAAAATTTGATTGCTCACCAACTAAATTTTTCCTTTTCCTTGCCATCTTATTTCTTCCATTTAAGACTCACATATGTCTTGGAGGTAGATTCTACTTCAGCAAATAATTAAATTGTATCCAGGGAGCTAAAAAATGTTAAATCTGGCTGCTGAGAACAATACAAGTATATGCTAACTTTTGACATATTTATAGTTTCATTTCCTCACTCGCCATCTGAACAGACTGTTCCCTCTTAATTGGAATTGGAATTGTTTTCAGTTCTTTTGTTACTAAATAGAGTGCTTCTGTAAATGCTGCTTTACAAGTTGCTTGTCTTCTCATCTGAATTTTTTTTAGGTGTACTTAATCTCAGAAGTAATGCTAGTGAGTCAGATGGCACGGGTAGTTTTTATGGCACGTATTACATATTGCAGGAATGCTCTTCAGAAAGGCAGAACTAATGGATGCTTCTAATAAAAATGCGCACATCAAACAGAATTTTGACATCTCTAAAATACTGAGTTTTATCAGTTTTCTTTGTTTTTGTTAAGTACAGTACAATATTCAAATAGTGCAATGATACTCAAATAGTACAATAGTAGTCATAATAGTGACAATAGTATGTACTAGTGGTGGTAGCAGCAGTAACTAACCTTTATTGAATGCTTAACTAGGTGCTAGGCATTTGTCTAAACACTTGACTCATTTGTACAGCAACCCTATGGCTTAGATACCATCATTACTGCCATTTTACAAATGAAGAAACCAGGGCATCAGGAGGTTACCCAGCTTGCCCAAAGTCACACTGTCAATAAATGGAGCAACCTTTGAAGTTAGGCAGTCTATTTATAGAACCTATATTCTAGATCCTTACTACTCAATATGTGGCTTTCAGACCAGCAGCATTGACAGCACCTTAGAGCTTATTAGAAGTACATAATCTCAGGCCCCCTCCAGACTTCCAGTAGCAAATCTGCATTTTAACAAAGTCCCTGGTGATCCATGTGCTTCACTGACCTACTAAATGTGATCCTTTAGCTTGAGAAGCTCTGCTCCAAACCGCTGTTACAGTGCTTCATTGTTATTCTTGGTGTTAGCAATAGACATTTAGGTTATTAGTCTTTTTTTTTTTTCTGAGTTTATTTGAGCCAAGCTGACAACATATTCTGGGAGCAAGATTTTAAATGCCCCCTCTATTTTTTTGAATATCCATATACTTATACATATTGTATTAGTAGCCTATGTGTACTAATAGACTCATAGGATAATTTGTATAAATGGGATTGATGGATTAAAGGAGTTACTGTGTTTTAAAATTTTGATAGAAATTGTCAAATTATCTCCATGTCAGTTTATTCTCATACCCATTGTATACGAAAATGCCTGTCTTTTACTGTTGTTAAACTTTTGGATCTTTGCATGTCTGATAAATGAAAAATGGTAATTCAGTTTTCTTTGCATTTCTCTTACAAGTGGTTAACAATAATAAAATTAATAGGTACAGTATACAGAGGACTGCTCTCTGCCAGCCCTGTGTCACATAATTAATCCTCACTACCCATGAAGTAAGGCCAAGTTCAATGACTTGCCCAGCATTACAGAGCTAATAAGTAGTTTAGCTGGGTTGTTTTCTTAACTTCTACACTTTCTTCCCGATAGTCTGGTAGATCCCTTGGTACTTTTGCTTCTGCACTCTAAGATAGGAGAGATCCTTAGAACCCTTACTACTTTGGAAGGAGACCTTCCACAATCTTCCACAAGGGTAATCTGATTTTTAGGATATTCCATGTTGTCATTTACAGTCAGCCCATCATGGCATCCAAGAAGCCGTCTACAGGCAGGTGGAGATATTTTCCATGAGCTCTCTGGGGAGAGTGCTGCATGACAATTAAATTTTATTTTAGATTTATTGCCATCATCCTTTTTTCTCTTTTTATATGTTTATTGATTTTTTTAGAAAGAGAGGAGGGGAAAAGAGAGAGAGAGAGAGAGAGAGAAACATCGATTGGTTGCCTCTCATACGTGCCCCGACCGGGGATCGAACCCACAAACTAGGTATGTTTCCTGACCAGGAGTGGAACCCCCAACCTTTTGTTGTATGGGACAATGCTCCAACCAACTGAGACATAGCAGCCAGGGCTGTCATTTTTTTTTTTCTTTAAGAGAAATTAGGCATTAGTGTTGACTTTCATGCTAGAAATGAGATGCCAAAATAGACCAAAAAAGAAATCACTCTAAATTCTTTCAGAATGTAAATTATAACATCAAAATGAAAACACAAACTCAGTAACAATAGCAAACATATTGAATGCACCAGGTCACCTTTATTACTTGTCCCATCAAAGGAAACCTGCAATCTGTGACTTCTGATTTAAGCCCTATTAGATCCCAGTTTTCAGTCCAACCTAAAGGATCACATTATTCAAGCTCATACTAATTTCTTGCTTGCATGTCCCTTTTATTGTTATTGCATTACTTTTTGCTTCATAAAATGGCACACAGATCCTGTGTATTTTCCCTTAGCCCGCCCTTCCGAATGAATTTAAACTGAGTAACTGACATGTCCAGTGTAATGCTCTTCTTTTCCTTATTGTACAGGGCCTTGCAGACAGACTTGTCCTCTTAGACCTCTCAGAAGGGACTAAAGGAGGGATGATGGATCTTAATATCTTCAACCTGCCTAATGTGGAGATCAGCAAAGGTCTGCTTTTTCTGCTTAAAACATGTATACCTTATTTGCTCTTGTATTTAAGTCCTAGAATTTTGTAATAGACTTTATTTTTTAGAGAAGTTTTAGGTTCTTAGCAATATTGAGGAGAAGGTACAGAAATTTCCCATATATACCCCCTGCTCCCACACATGCATAGCCTTCCCTATTGTCAACATCCCCTACCTGAGTGGTACAATTGATGAACCTACCTGGAAATATTATTATCATTCAAAATCCATAGTTTACACTAGGATTCACTATTGACATTCTACATTTTATGGATGCAGACAAACCTATAATGACATGTGTTGATCATTATTGTATTTTAGAGAGTTTTTTTTTCCTTGTGAAAAACTTGGAAAATTCCTGGGCAAGTGGAATATGGAAACTGAGAAAAGAAAATTAAACAAGGTCAAACTTTTTGAACTTACAGCCAGGTAGTGAATTGCAAGACCTTACCTTCCCTAACCAAGGACGCTTGAGAGCAAATTGGTCTCTACCTCTCCTCCCTAACCAGAGAATACATAGCTTAAATGACCCTGGTCTGGGAAATAGAGAACAGAGACCCAGTTAATGCCATTTGTGCCAACCAGACCCTAGGATGAATAAAGTCAGGGGGATAAATAACAAAAACCTGACTAGAGCCAGACAGACCCAAGATAAAAGTAAAACAGTGAAGCAAACCAAAGAATAATCTCAGACTCTCCTATGTGCTCATTTTGATGCATCAGCATATTAAAAACGAACCTGGAAAGCTGACAAATATTCTGCTGAAACTCTCCCCTAAGATTCTCGCCTACAGACAAGAGAAAAAACTCTCAAAATGAAAGATGTAAGTGTGGGCTTGCCCTAGAGCATGCCCATACCTCTTTTCAGGCATGAGCTTTTTATTTCCTCCTAAATGCTAAGGGTCCCCACAACACTTGCAACCACGGGAGCAGTGGGCACCTGGAGCTTGTCCCGGGCCTACCCTCGGTCCTGTCTTTAAGACCCCCTTTTTCTCTGACTTTCCAGTGAGCTACCAGCAGCCTTTACAATCTTACTTAAGCCTCTAAGGCCATCTTTCTAAACAAGTTTCTAAAGGAAACACTTGTGCAATGGGTCCACTGGGAAATGCGCTACCCAATTTCAGTTCACAATCTAACACAATTGTAAGGATGGTTGCTCCCAAAACTGACTCATGGATTTTAATTATGGTTCTTCATGAGTCCTCTTAAGTGTAATTCCTGTGTTCTAGAGTTTGGAATAGATATCTGGTGATGAGTCAAAATCTCAAGAACTGGAAGACAGTAGAACTGGTAGGGATATAGTAAAGACTTCCATACCACTTTTATGTGTCAGATATTGTTCTAAGAGCTTTCCATATATTTACTCCTTTAATCTAAGCCACAACACTCTATGGGGTCAATATCATCCCCATTCAACAGATTAAGAATCTGAGGCACAGAGACGTTAAGTAACTTGTACAAAGTCATAGAACTAGTAAGTAGCAGAGCCAGAATTTCAAGCCCAGGCAGTCTGGCTTCAGAGTGAGGTCAAGCACTGTGCTATATTAACCCTCATAAAGAAGAGGAAGTTGATACCTGGAAAGATTAGGTGGCTTGTCCATATTATTAAATATCAGTGAATGGTTCAACTTCTGACCCTATAATTTGGCCCCAACCTACCTTTCCAGGTTCATTTCTTTTCCCCTTTTAGCTTCTTCAACTTTGAGTGATGAAAACACCCTCACCCTCAAGGTTGATTTATGAGTAAACAGAGTAGAAGCTTTCTAATATTTCAAAAGTGGAAGAAAGTCTTTTTACTCCATACTATTTCCTGTCAAGCTCCCAAGTTCTTTCTTTCTTTCTTTATTTTCCTCACGTAAGGACATGCTTGTTGATTTTAGAGGGAAGAAGGGCGGGGAGAGAGAGGGAGAGAAATATTGATGCAAGAAACATTGATCAGCTGCTGCGCACACCCCAACGAGTGACTGAACCTGCAACCTGGGCATGTGCCCTGACCAGGAATCGAACCCTCAAACTTTTTCAGTTTACGGGATGACTCTCCAACCAACTGAACCACACTGACAAGGTTGCTCCCAAGTTCTTTCATTTCTCCAAAGGCCTGGGACAGAATGCCAGGCATCTGTAATTTTAAAAAGCACCTCAGGTTATTCTGACACAAGTTATCAATCCAAAACCGTGTTTTAAGAATCACTGGCACCCTGGCCCAGTGGCTCAGTTGGAGTGTTGTCCCATACACCAGAAAGGTTTCAGGCTTGATCCCTGGCTGGGCCTGTGGGGGTGCATGTGGGAGGCAACTAACCCATGTTTCTCTTTCACATCAATGTCTCTCTCTCTTCTTCCCTCCCCACCTCTTTCTTAGTCTAAAAAAATCAATAAAAACATATCCTTGGGTAAGAAAAAGAATTAACTATCCATTGAGCAAATTTTACTTTGTTCCGTATGTCAGCAAGAATTTATTTTTTAATTTACAACTATCGAACACTTTTTTCTCCATGCACACATACGCCATATACCTGTACACACAAAAACTTATGCTTGTATATGCAAAGACTATTTCTAGAGTAAATCATAAGAAATTGATAACAAACATATGTTTGAAACCTCAGCTCAGCCACTTACTAACTGTGCGACCTAAGCCACAATCTATATGAGCCATCTATAAAATAAACTATGAGAAGTAATGACATGAGAATATATGTAAAGTATCTAGCACATGTTATTGATTCTCTAAAATAATGGGAACTGTTATTATTATTAAGGAATAAAAGACAAGCATAATAATGTCTTCAGCCAGGAAATGACACGATACAAATAATATCATAGGAAAATTATTCAATTAGCTATGTTTAATATCAAATAAAAGTAATTGAGAGAAAGAAAACAGGAACCTCACACAATGCTGGTGAGAGTTTAAATAGGTACAACTTAGTAATACAGATTTAAAAAACATATACCTTTTGACCCAGTAGTTTTACCTTATCCCACTAGTGATAGAAATACACAAAGATTTCTGCATTAGTGTTCTCTGAAGCATTATTTGTAATCACAAAAATACAAACAATATAAATGTCTACTAATAGGAGACAGACATCCATATAAAGCTATTCAAAGAAATAGAGCTATTTAGATCTATATATGCTATAATAATGATCTTGAAAATGGAGACAAATGTATTTGAACAATAAAAAAAAATTAAAGAATGGAAAAAAAATAATGGTCTTGAAAAGGTTACTGTTAATTCACCAATAAATTAAACACAGAATTGCCATATGACCTAGCAGTTCTACTTCTGGGTATATATCTAAAAGAACTGAAAACAGGTGTTCAAACAAAAACTTGTGTATGAACGTTCATAGCGGCACTTTTCAGAGTAGCAAAAAGATGCACTTGAAATGTCCATCAACTGATTAATGGCTAAATAAATGTGGTATGTTCACCCATAGAATATTATTCAGCCATAGAAAGTAGTGATATACTGATACATGCTACAATATGAAATGAACCTTGAAAACACTGTGCTAGGTGAAAGAAGCCATACGCAAATCGCCACCAATACTGTATGATGGTGATACTGTCTTTCTCTGTCTGACTTATTTCACTCAGCACAATACCCTCTAGGTCCATCCATGCTGTTGCAAATGGCAAGATTTCATTCTCACAAGCAAGTTTTATTGTTGCTAAATTTCTGTTATGGGACCGCAAAGCTACTGAAATCATTTATTTACCCATTGGACTACTTTTAAGGATCTTCAGTGTGTATCTTTTTTATAAAATGTATTTCAGTGCAAAAAGAAATGTCACCATGGTAAATTTTTTGTTATATGTTTTTAGCACAATTTTTAAGAGGGAGGATAAAAATATTAAGTGCAAAAAACAAGTGCAAAACCAGTTTTCCCACTCTGACTCCTGAAGCAACCACTCTTAACAATTCCTTAGTATTTCTCCAGATTTAGTCTATGCATACACAAGCAAAACTGTGTGTATATATACAGGCAGGAGCAAATGTAGATTTATCATTGTTCATATGAAAATTAATACAGTAATTAATAAATAATGATACAAGAATAAACTCTGTTTTGTGTACTCACAACTGTAAACCTACATTTGCCCCACCCAGTGTAGTATATTTGCATGCTCACTTGTACATATTGGGTGGGACAAAAGACACATTTTTCATTTTCATCAATAACTTCATTGAACAATGTATTCACTCTTTTGTTCTACTACCTTCTGCCATCTTTCAGGCAACTTCATAATTCCATCTTCCCAAAACTCTATCTTTTTGAGCAAAGAACTGTTCTAGGTGCCTTTTGCAATCTTGCAAGGAATTGAAATTTTTTCCATTAATAGAATTTTGTAAAGACTGAAATAAATGGAAATCCAAAGGTGCAATGTCTGGTGAATATGGTGGGTGAATCAGAACTTCCCAGCCAAGCTCTAACAGTTTTTGCCTGGTCATCAAAGAAACATGTGGTCTTGCATTATCCTGAAGAAAGATTATGTGTTTTCTATTGACTAATTGTGGATGTTTTTCATCAAGTGCTGCTTTCAGTTGGTCTAACTGGGAGCAGTACTTGTTGGAATGAATCATTTAGTTTTCCGGAAGAGCTCCCTTCTAATTCCACCATATACACATCATCTTCTTTGGATGAAGACTGGCCTTTGGTGTGGTTAGTGGTAGTTCATTTCACTTGCCCCATGATCTCTTCAGTTCCACATTATTGTAAAGTATCTACTTTTCATCTCCCATCACAATTTGTTTTAAAAATTGAATATTTTCATTATGTGTAAGTAGAGATTTGCATGTGGAAATATGGTCAAGAAGGTTTTATTCGCTTAACTTATGTGGAACCCAAACATCTTGGGTATTAACATAACCAAGCTGGTGCAAATGATTTTCAGCACTTGATGTGTATATTTTGAGTATGTTGGCTGTCTCCCACTTTGGTATAACATTGATTGTTCTCAATTAATGTCTCCATTTGATGACTATCAACTTCAGCTGTTCAACCTGACTGTGGAGCATAGTCCAGTGAGAAATCCCCAGCACAAAACTTCACAAACCACTTTTGACACATTCGATTAGTGACAGCACCTTCTCCATACACTGCACAAATCTTTTTTTGCATTTCAGTTGCATTTTTATCTTTCTTGAAATAATAAAGCATAATATGCCAAAAATGTTATTTTCTTCCATCTTTAATCTTAAAATGGCTACAGAAAAATTTACCAATTTTGATCAGTTTTTTTTTTATTAAACACTCTTATGACAGCTGTCATATGACACTGTAACCAGATTGTTTCGAATGAAGTTAAGAACACTAAGCACTACTAGAACCATCTTATAGGAAAAACCAAACGAACTTTTTGGCCAACCCAAAATGTATATCCCTCCCCCAAGTGTTTTAGCGGCTATTAAAAAAAATATCCAAATGGAGCATAGTACAATTCTATGATGATCAGTTGCAATCATCAGTACCTGTTATGATGGGACATTACTAAAATTTCTCAGTGAGTTCAATTTCTCAAAATTATTAATGCACTTCTCCATATTGTAGAATATATTCAGAAAATGTTAATTAACATTATAATTAAAATTACTTTATATCATAGGAATTAAATTAAGTATTATCAGGAATGTGCACCCAAAATTAGCAAGGGGCAACATGACACTTGCCCAAAGATAGTATGCATTCATTCAACATTCCCTATTTGGTGGCAAGCACCATGACCTACATATCTGCCCGCAAGGACTCTATTCTTTCAATTACCTGAAACAATAGTTATTGATGGTTAATAAGACATAGGAAAAAACAATTTCCTCATGTACTAAATGGCCTCACAACCCCTAGGGTCTATGTACTCAACAGTCCCCTAAGGTGATTTGGAATTTTTACAAGGTCCCTTAAGAACTTCAGTACCTGAAATGACAGGCACTGGAGAATATCCAGCTCCCCCAGGCATCCTCTAGATGAGGCCTACAAAAGGCTCTTTAAAGCGACTATTATTGTACTGTCTCTAGAGAAGGAAAATGAACTTATTGTGCCCTACAGGGATCCCGAGGCTTGCTACAACTATTACACCCAATTTATATATCTCCAAATATAGTATTTACCTATATATATTTATGTCTGCATTAATATATCATGTACATGATAAAATATATGCAAAAGTTTTAAATTGAAAAATATGAGGTAAATTACCTTTGTAACATTAAAATTTTATTTATTGATACAAAAACCCTTTTTGTTGTTATTAAAACTTATTTTAACACTATGTTTTTAGTGAAAGTAATGCAAATAGAATTTTTAAAAAGAATCTTGGTTTAACACTTTTGCTATATGCCAAGAAGTAGGTATTATTCCTACTTTAAAGATGATGAAACTAAACTTTCAGAGATTATATAATCTAACAAAGGTCAGAGCTCTAACATGACAGACCTAGGATGCAAACCACATCTTTCTAACTCTAAAATGAGTGTTCTTAGCCAATAAATTATTAAAAAGCAAGCAATCAGAGAAAATAAATTTATACTAAAATGAGACACACAGAAAGAACCAATTTCCTCATATCCTAAATGGCCTCACAACCTCTAGAGTCCATGTACCAAACAGTCCGCTAAAGTGATTTGAAAGAAACAAGAATAAATCCTACTGACCAAGCTGAATATTATTTGCTTATCTGACGCTTGTTACAATATGTATATCCCTCCCCCAAGTGTTTTAGCAGCTATTAAAAAAAATATCCAGAGTTGCGGCCTCTGTGTGACTCTGGGTAAGTCACTTAACTTTTTTGAATCTTAGTTTCTAAATATGTAAATTGAGGGATTTAGACTAGGCAATCTTTTTTAAAAAAATTGATTTTGAGAGAGAGAGGAAGGGAGAGAGATAGACAGAGGGAGAGAAACATAGATGTGTTGTTCCACTTATTTATGCATTCACTGGTTGATTCTTGCATGTGCGCTGACTTAGGACTGACCCTGCAACCTTGGCCTATCAGGACAACACTCTAACCAACTGAACTTCTCAGTCAAGGCCTGGACTAGGTGATCGTTACAGTACTTTCAGCATTAAAAGTCTAGTACTCTGGGCAGAGCCTAGATGATTTTTAGGGCAGAGGCTGTTACCAGAAGGGCCTAGGCCCAGAGTGGATCTGCCTCATGCTCACCTGTAGTATATGGGTTCTTGACTTCATGGAGGAAAGGTTTCACAACACAAGTCCAGGTGATTTTGAGAGCACATTTATTAAGTCTGGGGAGAGTAAAACAAAGGAGTGGCTTAGGGTAGAAGAAGCAACAGGAGAGAGCCAGGCAGGACTCTGCTTTGGCTCTCTAGAAACATTATAGAAAGGAGTGAGCCAAGCTACTGTTTTGACATGTACTTACTGTAAAACACACTGTGTAACAGAGAGTAATGTTGTAAAATAGCATATGTATGTTTGAGGATCACAGCAGTGAGCTCCAGAGAACAGCTTTTCTGAAGTCACAACAGTTGCTTATGCATTAAGTCCCATTGAAAGAAGAACCTAAAACCAAGGACAGTGGGCTTCAGTATAAGAAAGAGTGAGTTAAAAAAATGAGCCAAAACATTTTATCTTGATTTAAGGATTTTCAAACTATTTTTTTCCTCTTTGGAGTAGAATCCTTAAAAAATAAAACAGATATGAGCAGAACTACTCTGCTCAAAGTTAAAGTAAGTGGCCTGGAGTGGTGCCGACCAGCCTTCTTTTCACTTATTCTCAGTCCTCCCAGGTGGCCTCTGAATCACTTTTAAGGAACTCGAGGATTCCCAAGCTCAAAGTTTAAAAATGAGTGATATAATTGATTATAAGATCATTTTGCCTGTAGTATATTATTTATTTTCCCTCATAAATGGTGAATTACATAAAAACTAGTTCCTCGTTTGTGGGTTCTGGATCCTCTAATTTATTTAGTTTATTTTTATTGCTCTCCTTCCCCCCTTGAGATACACTCTTGCTGTTAATTCTCTTTCTGATGGCAAACATCAGCACTTTATATACTTCCTATAGAGATAAGATTGATCTGGGGGCAAATGAGCCTAACAGCTCTCTACTTGAAGAAAAGAAAAACCTTCTTATGAACATGAACTTGATTAAAATCTGTATCTTGAGCCCTGGCTGGTGTGGCTCAGTGGATTGAGCGCCAGTCTGTGAACCGAAAGGTCGCTGGTTCAATTCCCTGTCAGGGCATGTGCCTGGTTTGTGGGCCAGGTCCCTGGTTGAGGGTGTGTGAGCAGCAACCCATCAATGTCTCACACATTGGTGTTTCTCTCCCTCTCACTCTCTCTCCTTTCCCCTCCCTCTAAAAAACAAGCAAACAAAAAACCTATATCTTGAGCTCAAACTGGTTTTTTTTGTATTCATTATAGATCTGTCTGCCTCTGCTCATTCCAAGGTGGTCATCTTCACAGTTAACTCTTTGGGTAGTTCTCAGTCCTACCTTGAAGTGGTGCAGAGAAACGTGGATATGTTCAGATCCCTTGTGCCAGCTCTGGGACATTATAGTCACAACGGTGTCCTGCTTATTGCATCTCAACCAGGTAAAAGGTTTTATTTTAAATGAATTTGATGGTCCAGTGCATCAGTAGAGTTGCCATTACTGATAAAAGTCATAAAACTAGATTATAAAGGTATGACTAGAATATTCAGTTAAATTGCTCTTATAATGAGCAATACAGTATTTCCATTTCCTGTCATACAGTGACTTCTTATGACTGGCATTAACTAGAAGGTTACAAGTTATAATTTTTAAATATAATACTACTATTACTATGTTCCAGGTTGTTAGCCATACTTTCTTCAGTGAGAAAATAGTTAAACTTCCAAGAGAAAAATGCAGTGACTTAAGTGAAAGATCTTTTGTTAAATCTGAAATGTCATAAAATATTAGTGAGAATGCCAGAGTACATTTTTAACATTTTATATTTTAAATTGTTTGAAACTGTTTTACCTAAAAAACATTTAGATGTGCTACTGGACTCAAATTGGTGAACATGTTTTGTTTTTTTTAATGTCCCCAGTATAGGAGTATGGTATGCATTTCACTTGTTTTCCTATAGTAATTGTCTGAGGGAACTGGTCTCTTTAATTCCTGACATCCTTTTGACATGTAAGAAAAAAGTAGTTGTGTTTTTGTTCCTATACTGCAGAGTGGTGGTATGTGAATCAATATTTTAATTTAAAGATAGAATTTTAGCCTTAAATGTAAAAGAAAACTTGATCAATAAAAAAAATTATCTTCTCATTTTCTGTACCGTTCTCATCCTTCTTGCTTAACTATTCTAGGAAATTATTTTCCACTCTTAAGAATTTATATTTAACAATAGAGTTATGTGCCCTGGCTGGTGTGGCTCAGTGTATTGAGTGTCAGTCTGAGAACAAAAGGGTCACTGGTTCAATTCCCAGTCCAGGCACATGCCTAGGTTGTGGGCCAGGTCCCCCATAGGGGGCATGTTAAGGGCAACCACACATTGATGTTTCTCTGCATCTCTTTCTCCTTTCCTTCCCCTCTCTCTAAAAAATAACAAATAAATAAAATAAAAACAGTTATGTTAAGTCATGCTGAAATCTCATTCATGTTTTTAATATACATTAGAAATATATTATGCCTTACAGTGCATTTAGGACCTAAGAAGAGGGCATACAAGTTCTAATATACTTAGTAAAATAATAAATATTTGTTTATGAACTAGGCTAGAAGTATATTTTTAAAAATCTTTACATTTTCATCTTGTGTGCAATATTTAGTGGAAATCATGACCTATGTGACATGGAAACTGAGTGCATTTCCTGCAAATAGAGTGATTGGAATCGGATGCAATCTGGATTCACAGAGATTACAATATATTATTACAAATGTTTTGAAAGCACAAACTTCAGGAAAACAAGTATGGGTTATTGGTGAGCAGGGAGAAGACAAAGGTAAGAAATACATTTTTATTAGTTACACTGATAACCTAAGTCACTAGTGGCCATGATATTCAGATACATCTAGGACTCAAGAATTGTGGAGTTTAGCTGGTTTTTGCTCCACAATTTGGGTGCCTTCTTTGTAACATGTCCTGTGCTGTGAATAGAGTCCTCAAACATGTTGTTCTACTTATATTTACTTTTCTGTAAATTTACAATTAAGCAAGACTCCTTAGTCAGGTTTTATATTTCCTCAAAACTTTCTTAAAGTTTAAAGCTTCCTGTGTGCTTTAATGCCAAATATTAACAGCTGTTATTGTCTAGGTTAGAGGTAACTTGTAAAAATTTGTACTTTTCTGTGTTTTCTAATTTTGTCATTATGGATATGTAGTATTTGTATAATTTTTAAGAAAATCATTTTAATGAAATACAACAGTTTTTTAAATCTGTGTACATCAGTACTGGTTACCTAGAAAGTTCAGTGCCAGGAAGAGTCAGGCTATAGAATAAACCTTTGCAAAACCTGATGGTATAATTCAAGCAGAAATGCCATTCAGGTTCAAAATGCCCCCGACATTAAACACTAATCAGTAGGACCCTAGAAAAGAGTAGTGAACAAGAACTTGAAACAGATGTATTAGAGTAATGAATGTTTAAGGATTTGAACAAACCTGAGACCTGAACTTTACTCACTGCACCATTTGAGTTCTGGTCCATGTTGACCTTTTGCTAATCTGATTGTTGCAAGTCTCCCAGTTAGTTTGCTCTCTCCCCCACCCCCGCCAGTCTACCAAATTAATAATGATATCAGCCAAAACTTACAGTGTTTACTATATGTTTTCAAATACTACAATCTTCCTAAATTATATTCCTCTTTTCAAAAAATTTCACTGGCTTCCTCTGACCAAACTATTAAATTCCTTTGCTTGGCATTCAAAGAGTCCCAAAATATAACCCTAATTTTATTTCCCAGTTATAGATATGGAGGTAGTCATGTTACTAAAGAGCTGGGAGGAACCCACGGGATCATCAATTATACTTCGTTTTTGGGAGTCAGAAATAGGTGCAGGATGGTAAGAGTGACCTGCCCAGGAGCCTATAGCTTTCTAGGTCAAAGAAGGACTAAAACCCAGGTCTTGAGCCTCCTAGCCTGCCCCACAGCTTTGCGTCAGCCACGGACACCTTTGCCCACTGCATTTACCTCCTCCATAATCCCGTCTCCTTCCCTCTCAGCATGTTTAAATCTCATCCTTCAAGGTCTCCGTCAGGACCCCTTATTTAAAACACTATGATGTTTTTCCTGACCACAACACTCCGCAGTGATTTTTTTCATCCCTTTGAGCTAAAAGTTATTGTTAGCTGTATGGTGATTAAACATATATTGTCTCATGACATTTAGTCTTTTGTGAAACTGCTGTTTATTCTGATCAGTTTGAATTTTGTGTGTACACCTTCTCATTAAAAGTGTAAGTTAATGTATAACTTTACTTTTAGTCGACTTTAGTTTACTTCTAGTTGAAAAAGTTATACATTCACATCATAAAAAAATTAGGTAGTACAAAAAGATATACAGTGAAAAATGTCTCCATTCTATGCAAGACACCCAGTTTGCTTTCTCTAAAAGCAATCACAGTTAGCCGTTTTTGGCGTAATCTTAGAGATATGTTTTGTGAATAGACAAGTGCATGCATGAAATGTACATCATACATTATTCTCTACATTGCCCCTTTACTATTGATATGACTCGAAAATGATCACTATATATACACATACGTGTACATATATGTATATATGTACTTCATTCTTTTTAACTACTGGATATACCAAAATTTATTTAACTAGTCCCCCAAATAAGTGACAATTTTTTAATGAATTAGAACATTTCACAATATTGCATGAATATCACAAATTGTAGAGAGAAAATAAAGAATGATATGACAATAAATAAATCTACAACACTGTGCTGACTGCTGTTAGAGCTATTTAGATGAATAAGAAATTGACCCTGTCTTTAGGAAGCTTAGAGACAGGTCCGAGGGAAGTAGGATAAAAGCACAAGGAAGGATATGGTAATTCTGTCCTGAGCTCTCAAATGGGAACTAGAATAGAGGGATATAGGTGCATGTGAATTGAGATCACTTAAGTATAATATGTAATATTTGACACATATAAAAGAATGCATATAATGTGTATGTATTTTTTAAATAATAATAGAATATACATTCATGAATCCACACTCAATTATTAAGAACATTACCAATGCCACTGAAGCTACCTATGTACTTCCCAACCCATCTCCCTGTCTTCCATCTAGATACCACTGCGGGATCATTTTTTATCCTGTCTTCTGCTTTGTTTCAGAGATAAGTTGTGTCCATGGATAGGTATACTTAGGTTGGCCCTGAAGCTAGAACTGGATTAGAGGCTCCCTCTGCTGGTTTCATGTATAGATACCAATTGGCTATATTTTTAAGTGATACCACTGCAATAAAAACAATTATAATTATTATTTTATATTGAGTGGCTACTATGTGTATTAAATGGTTTGCATATCTTACCCTGCAAAGGACGTGGTGGTTTTCCAAATTAATAGATGAGAAAGCTTAAAACTAATTTGCTTGTAAGGGCATCTAGTAAGGGCAAAACTGAGGTTTGAACCCTGATCCACTCCAAAGCTGTGCTTTTGCTTGCTGTTACTTAATTAGATAATTTATCTAAAGCATTTAGTACAGTGTCTGGCACTGAGTAAATGCTCAGTAAATGGTAGTTGTTGTTACAGTCATCAGCAAGATAGTGTTAAAAATTGACAAAAGGATATGTAAAAGCACACATTGAAGTAAAACAACATTAGGATTGGGACACATAATAATAGTAGGTGTGTAAGTAAAATTATTCTCTTCAAGTATTTCAGAGACAAATGACAACTACAGTTATATGACATACAAGACCCTTTCGGATCTGTTTCCTGCTTCCTTCCCCAGCTTCATCTTCTGCCATTCTACCAGGCATTCGATGCTAGTCAGACGGTCAACTTGCAGTTTCCTGAATGATTCATGCACTCTCATGCCTCCTGGCCTTTGCACCTAATGCTTCCTTTCCCTGAACATTCATTCATTTGACTAATTCCTGCCTACCCTTCAAAACTAGGCTTGAGTGCCACCTCTCCCAGGAAGGCTTCCTGAATTCTCCAGGTTAAGTAAGTTCACGCTGCTACTATAAACATTATCACACTATGTTATAACTGCATTATTTACTTGTCTGTTCACCACACCAGACTGTAAGCTCCTTGGAATGGTCTCAGTACATGCTTTGAAATGAATGAATGATCTTGACACCATCTTGTGACCAGAAGTCATTCATATTATGCCCCCATCAAAATAGGTAGCAAAACATGTGCTTTGGAGCTGCAGTTTTCAGCTGTGATATTGAAATCATATGTGAACTGCAGATCACTCCTTCAAATGGCATTTTAGAAATCCAAGGCCAGACCTCAGAACAGTGTGCTTGATCATCTGCTTTGGGCATCCATCTTATTGAGGGGGCAGGTGTTATATGTAATGGAAAAACACTATCCTATGGTCATTTTTCATTAAAACTTCGGGGCTCAGAGGATTACTGTTCTTGAGAAGTAGAACCAGAAAGATTAGGATTGATATTAGGTACAGTATTTGAAAGAGCTCCTTAAACTAGGAGGGACTTATTTTAGGAAGTTTGAAGGGTTGGGCAGTAAATGAACAAAAAATGAAATAATTAAGTCCACCTAAACTTAATAGTTTTCTAATGACTGTTACAAGCAAACATGAATGTAGTGAAACTTTCTGACTCTTTCCAAATGTTCTCTTCTCATGGCTCTTAGAAGTCAGAATTCAGAGAGGAAGGATTAAGGATTTGATTGTTGTATAATATATAATAGCAGTAATACTCATAAATAATTTCCAGATGTTCTGTCCTTTTATCTTTTTTTATACCTACCTCGTCCTTTTTATTCATCTCTCCAAAGTTTGTTAAGGCTTTATTTCATATAACAGTTTCCTGTAATTTTCTATGTATTTTGAATATACTAATAATGTACCAGTATTTTTCTAGAAAATAATTCATGTATAATCCTTCTATCCAAGTAAAACAATTTTTAAAATCCCTCATTCTGTCCACATTTATTTATATTTTTCATAAAACAATTTTTGGTTTCCATGTTTTTCAACTTAATACAAATATATTTTCCTCTTTGTTGCAAAATATAATTATGGATTGTGTGTGAGGTCAGTTCTGTATTATCTCCTGAGCGTTCTTTTTTAAAACAATATATTTATTGATTTTTAGAGAGAGGGAAAATTATAAAGAGAGAGAAACAGAAGCACTTGATTGGTTGCCTCCCATATGCCCCCTAACTGGGGAGTCAGTCTGCAACCTAGGGTATGTGCCCCGCCTGGGAATCAAACCCCCAACCTTTGGTGTACAGGAAGATGCTCCAACCAACTGAGCCACACTGGCAAGGGCGCTCCTGACCATTCCTTACCATGGCAAAGAATATGTGTGAGAGGACACAAAAGATGAACACATGGTCCCTGCCCCCCAAAAGCTTATAATCAGTTTGCGAACAGGAGGCATCTGGATACACCTGGTGTTCTTTGTTATTGACACATCACTAAATGGCCGACTTCTGAATGCAGTTTAGAGTCTCGTATTTTAAACATAAGATAGTCTTATATACCTGAATGTATTTTTGTTTTGGTTACTCAAACAAAAATTTATATCAAAGAATGTCTCCACACAGATGAGAAGCAGGTGAATATTAGAAAGATTTCAAAATGTTAACTTTCAATTCAGTATTAAAATGTGGTATATTTAGTTCACAGGCATAGCTTTGAATTTTGAATTGTTTTTATAATTAGTGTAGTAGAGGAAATGGATAACACCAAAGAAAAGATACTGTTAGGAAACAGGACCTCACCTGTCTTAACCGCTGCGGAACTCTAGCCCAGAATAGGTGACCAAATTATTCTTCACCTGGTGAGAGAAATTAGTCTTTGAGTGGTTCCCAGCTGATCAAACGTCAAGTGTTTGCAGTACTTGAGATCCTATTATTAACAGCCTGCTGAGGAGGGAAAGCTTTCTACTTTAAAATGGCCCTGGTAAAACTTTGTTGATGAGAGAAAACAGGTAAGTAGACTTCGGGGATCATGTGTTTTGGGGATTCCAGCTCAAAGTCTCTCCTGCCCCAGGCAGTCAGTACAACACATTGAGCGTCATCAGTGGTATACGTATCTATTGCTAGAAGAGGGGGGAAATGTTTATTTAATGTTTAATAGAGGTACCCTTGACTGCACACAATTATTTATCACATCATAATCCTATTAGAGTTATTGACAAAATATAATTAATTTTCATTTACTTTCAGTGACCAGATGGGGTGGCCAAGAAGAAGTAATGAATCATAACTCTCAGGTGCAGCTGACCAGCAGGTAACACTGTAAATTTGCATTTCTCCAACTGACAATCGTGTCCTTCATTGCTAACATAAGAGCTGTTTACACAGCATGTGCTTTCTAGGCTCCTACAGACAAAACTGGCAAGTATGGACAAATCCAAAAGTACAAGGGAGCAGTGTTTTCTGTTCTTTGATTTCTTATCTAAAAGTAGATCCAAGAGCACTTTGCAAACTTTAAGATACACAGTTGACACTTAAAGGGCAGAACAGGTTCCTGATTTGTAGACAGTGATTTGCTGTTTCTCTATTTAAACATCTGAGGATATTGAGAATTTCTGAAATGTAGAAGAGAATTTCTGCATACCACTTAAAATTAATATGTGTTTATTAATCACACATAAATACATTTAGAAATTAGTCTAAGTTCAGGCAAAAACAAAGGATAATGCACAGATCCGTCTATCTTTTGCTTTATTCAGAGGCCTTCTGGGGGTCTGTAGGTTGGACTCTCTATATATTTTCATGCCATTTTTTGTTTCACCATCACATAATGACATTCTTTCCTGCAGTCTGAGTGGTGGAGGTTTTTAGCTTTTCGAACATTCAGCATATGGCCCCGACTGGTGTGGATTAGAGGGATGGACATCGTCCCACAAACCAAAAGATCACCAGTTCGGTTCCAGTCAGGGCATGTGCCTGGGTTGCCAAGCCAGGTCCCCAGTTGGGGGGCAAGAGGCAAAACCAGTGTTTCTGATCGATGTTTCTCTCATACACTGATGTCTCTCTCTGTCTCCTTCCCATCCCTTCAATAAATAAATAAATACATAATATCTTTTTTTAAAAATACCCTTCAGCTTATGGTTTTCAGAATATAAAAATTGGAAAGAATATTCCTTTATTGGTGAGTGGTATGTTGTATAATCTATTCTAACCTGATTCTTTATACAATCCTGTATGCATAGCTTTTAAAAGGAAGAAAAAAGAAACATTTTTTTATTTCTATCCTTTTTTATTAGTTATAAAAAGAATGTATACTATTATAAAACTTCCCTGTAGATATCTATAAAATAGAAAGTGAAAAGCTGGGATAATTCCATTCTCTAGAAGTTATTTTCACCAGTTTAATGCCCACATGTTCAAACATTTTTTTCAATGCTTCTGCAAACATCAGTTTTTATTATTTTTATAATAATAGATTGTCATTCATATTACCCTGTAACTTGATTTGCTTCCTTGGTAATATATCTTGGACATTTTTCCATACTGTACCTATAAATCTGCTTTATCCTTCTCAAGAGCTACATGGCAGTACATTCGGTTGTGATTTATTTAACCTGTCACTTTTTAAAAAAATATTTTATTTAGTGTTTTAGAGAGAATGGAAGGGAGGGAGAAAGAGAGGGAGTGAAGCATCGGTGAGTGAGAGAAGCATCGATCAGGTTGCCTCTTGCATGCTGCCAACCTGCAACCTGGCCCACAACTGGGAATCGAACCAGCCACCCTTCTCTCTACAGGATGATACCCAACCCACGGAGCCCAGCGGGTTAGGCTAACCAGTCACTTTCGATGAATTATTTTCAGAATTCTTTCTGTCTCAAGCAAGGCAAACATACTTACTTGTATATCTTTGCACACTTGAGCATATTGCTGTAGGACAAATTGCTGAAAGGGGAATTTCTAGGTCGGATGTTGCCTAATCTTTCTCCTAAAAGATAGCTCTCGCCAGCAGTTACGGGAATGCCTGCTTCTTCATAGCGTCTCTAAAAGTAGTTACCAATTTTTTAAATATTTGCCAATATTGATGGGCAAAACTGGTGTATTTATTGTTTTAATTCATATTTAGTTAAATAGTAGCAGTAGTGAGCGTATTTTTATGTTATTAAGCCATTTGTATTTCATTCTGTGAACTGTTTGATATTTTAAGAAAAATTTTAGTGATTAGTTTATCTGTAGGTTTTCCTAACAATTACTGTATAGCTCTTATTTCTGTGTTATAAAAATATGTAATTAATATCGTAACTAGAAGGTAAAACTAAATGCATATTTTATTCATTTTCTGAGGGGTTTTTTTTCTTTTGTAACCTAGAGCCATGGAATTATTAAGGGGAAAAGGTCAAAGATCCTGGTCTGTTGGACTGTCAGTAGCTGACATGGTTGACAGTCTTGTAAATGATAAAAAGAAAGTGCATTCTGTTTCAATTTTAGCAAAGGTAATTCCTATTCTCATTCTCTCATCATATTTTTAAGCTTTTGTTGTTAGTATAAAATCAGAAAAGGTGCTATTCACACTGTAACAAGTGCCTTTAATATCACCAGCTTTTAGAGTAACACCTGGGAGGAGACAGCTTTGCCTAAGCCCTGTCCTGCCTGCCTATGGAAATTCTGGACTTCCACCATGTTTCTCCTCACCCCCATGTAATTTTAGGGAATTCCCAGGAAGCACTTATATATTCCATAAACAACTTCTGGTTGTCATTTATCACATCAGCCAGGTCGCCCCAAACTGCACCGGTCATCAGTGTACACTCTCCAGTTCAGTTTGTCCCTTACCACTTCATCCCAAGTATAAAGTCCCTAAAGCACAGCTAAGACCAGGCACGAATACGTAACCAAGTTTTCTTGAAAACTTAGGAAGACCAGGAGAAATAAAACATGGAAAGGAAAACTTAAAACAAATTATTGTATTTGACTGCACCCAGGACCCAGCCTGTGCCCCTCCCCTGGGAATCCACGCGGCCATCTTAGCCGCCGTCCCGCCCCCCGTTGCAGGCGCTAGCTCCCTGCCCATGAGGAGATGTTTCTGGCCAAGTCCCTCCTGTCTCACAAACAATTTCTGAAACTATAATGTGAGTTTAGAAAATAAATGAACAATTTTTTTTAAGTTCAAATGTATCACTTTGTACTAGGGCTATAAAAGCAAGAAAGTAACCATATTTATGATATTAACTTCTTTGCAGTGATTCAGCTCTATTATAATCTAATTTTATTCATTTCAGGGATATTATGATATAAATAGTGAAGTGTTTTTAAGTTTGCCTTGCATCCTCGGAACCAATGGGGTATCTGAAGTCATCAAAAGCACAGTGAAAGAAGACAGAGTGACTGAGAAGCTCCAAAGCAGCGCATCATCGCTCCATGCTCTCCAACAACAGTTAAAACTTTGAGTCTCAACTTCAGAGTTGTCTGAAAGGAAAGGTTATTTAATTTTGCCAACACATATAGGATTGAGAAATTCTGTATCTTATTACTTATCCTTATCAACTGCTTGGTCAAGGTAGATAGTTTATTGGTTAGTTTTGTAATTTTAATTCTTAGAGAGTTAGATAAGGAGAGGGAAAAATCCAATTTTCTTGTTCTAGGGATCTATATGGTTCTTTAAACCTGTAGCAGAGGTAAACACTACCTGTAATATGCACAACATAAAAAACTATGTATCCTCAACTAAGAGCACATTCAGCACTTCGGAAATATTTTGAAAGTAATACATTTTTAGAAGAAAATTATTCTTTGACAGTTACAGTAAACATGATGAGCTGAAAAGCCCAGTATGGATTTATGAAATCTGTCCTAGGTATACATTCAAAGGATCCACAATTTAAGGTATGGTTCCTTCTTTACAATACAGTTGGTAGTAATGGTAATAAAGCATTTGGTTTTCCCTCTTCAATAAATGAGCTACCAAAATATGGAAAAGAATTTTACATATACTTTAAAATAGTAAAGGGGAAAATTAAATTTTCTTAATATATGAAGACAAGGTATAGTTTAACTTCCAGGGGGACTGTCCCTTTTGAAATTTTCTATCCTCTCTTTCTGGGCAATATCAGATCTCTAACATCTCATAAACTCACTGTAACATTAGTAGAATCATAGAGAAATGCGTATTTTCAGTGAAAACAGATTGTGAATGAAAGCCAAGCAGTTTACTTTAACCCTAAAATACGAGGGGGAGAGGTTGGATGGACTGATTATTCTGAGCAGATCCTTGAACGACTTCTAAAGAAATGATCAGAGTACATCCACTTTGATGGTGCGTCAATAACAGTATCTTCATATGTGACAGATAGCATATTATTACTAAGGTGGCATGCAACTAATAGTAACAACTAACATCAAGACTTCATATATTTCAGGCAGTGTGATGAGCACATTATTATTTTATTGAATCCCCAACAATAACCCATCGAGGTAGGGACTATTATCATCGTGTTATAGAGGAAGAAATTGAGTTTCAGTGACCAAGAGCTCATGGTTAAAGGGCACTTATCCATATAACTCCTACTTTTTCTAAGTACTAGAAGAGGGTAAAGGCCTAATAGCCAAAATAGTCACCACCAGACCCTAAAGCTGGGGTTCTGTACTGCCCCCTTGTCATGTAGGAGAGGACTCTTTTTCCAACATAGTTTTTAGAAAGATTAATTCCCGGACTTCCCAGGCTTGCCCTCAGCAAATAGCAGAGAGGGGTATCCACTGAGGTATGTGTTTATTTGGTCATTCAGGTAGTATTGACAGGGAGCCTACTGTACACCAGGTACTGCATTTTTAGCTACTGCAGATACAGTGATGAGCAAACTTGGACTAGGTACAAGCCCTTATGTTTCTTATAATTTAGTATGGGAGACATAATAATCAAATGTCACAAATACCTGTACAATTGAAAATGTAATAAGTACTATGAAGAAGTCCAGGCATTTTGAAAGCATATCATAAGTGAATCCATACCTGGGCACAGAGATAGGAGCCCAGTGGTTTACAAGGGCAGACACACCCTCGTTAGAGAGGAAATGGTCACACTAATGTTGATTTAGTATAACAGGTACTTATAATGATAAGTTTAAATCATTATGGAAAGGTGAAATTATATTGTGTTTTATGTTTAAGAAGGTAGGAAAGTATTTCATATGCTTGGAAGGATTCCCACCAGAATTAAGTAGTATAAAAACCTTAGACATTTGAAGAGATGAGCATTAGCTCTGTGTAAGCTCACTCAAGGGATAGATTATTTTGCTGTTACTCCAAAAATGTATCTTCATTGCCTATTTGCATGAGATAGGAAAGTAAAACTGAAAGAACAAATCTTGTGTTTTTTAGAAACACAACTAGCCTTTTTTAATATCAGATATCTAATGAGAAATTAGATAATTTCTAATAACTACTATGCTCTTAATAACCCAACTATAAGATATTATATTATAAATGAATTGCCAATAATTCACTACATTAATTATAAAAGAAACATGTCAATATAACATTCTTATTGAACGTCTGTTGTTCGAAGTACTGTTAGAATATGAGGATTCAATGGTAAGAGCTCTTGCCCTAGAAGCCCACAATATAGAAGTAATTCTATCAGATAGCTCCTTGTATCAGGTAGTTCCTTGAGTGTTGAATATTACCAGCCATGTTGTACATATTCCATATACAAGTCAAGAAGCAGTACTGCCACCACCTCACTATGATTTGGTGATATTTTGACATTCACGATGCTGCTTTTAAGTTTCACTTTTTTCCCAAAATCATGTAATGTCTCGTTATGAATTTTAGTGGAGCTTGGATTAAAATGATTCTTTGATATTGTAACAGGAATAAATATTTCTCCAGTTTTACATTGTAGTTTTCCTTAAATATCAAAAATAGTGAATAAAATAAACTTTGACTTTAAAATCACCATATTCTTAATTTATTGAGTGGAAGGAAATTTATTCAGATTGAAGAGAAAGATTCTTTCATATAATTGTATGGTCCCCAAGATATTTAGTTATTTCATTTTAAGTGGCTTAAGTGCAAAATGAAGAGACTGGATTTTGTTGATTGTTTTCAAACTTTAGATTATTTTTGGCAAGAAAACTTTTAAAACAATGTATTACCTGCACTCTCTTGATTGATAAAAGCAGAGTTGCTCTAGATGAAGGTATTCCTGAGTTAAGCTGTGGCTTTAGAAACCGTTTGAAAACCACATTGCTTTTAAGTGACATTAAAAAGGTGCAGTAGCAAGATAGACTCCCTTACAGTTTTGACAGGAGCTGTATGCTTTACTAATATATGTTGTCCATATTAAAAAAAAATTATACCTATTGGAATAGTTTGTGTTGTGTTTGTGTGTGCGTGCAACAATTTATAATGATGCTTCCACGTGGTTTCAGTTATGCTCTCTTTGTGTATATGACCTTCACTTAGGTGCCAGTTTAGAAGGCAATTAATACTACAGCCTGTTCATCATTAGCAGGAGGCTAAAATCATCCAAATTACCATGCTCACATCATCAAAACAAAGTTTTACAGTATCTTCAATGACATTGTTCTTAAAACTGACGGTGATGTGCAATGACCAATATAAATGACTATGAAGAACTCTTATTGGTAGTAGAAATTCAATTAAGATCGAGTTCTTTTGAGCTGTACACGGCAATGAGTTTCTGAAGATGAGGCTGCCCTCAAAGACTTGGACTTGGACAGTGGACAGGATAGTACACAAATATAGTGCAATGTAGAATGCAGCCTGTATTATCATTTATAGCTGGGCACAGAGAAGTTCTGACTCAGGGAAGTGGTTTCCTGGAGAAGTTACCGCCATGCTTTCTGTGAAACTAGTGCTCTGCCCTTGCACCTTGTTAATGTAGTATTAAGAACTTTTAAGCTTCAAACAAAACCCTGATAATCAGAGAGACCCTGGGCATCATTCAAAGCAAGCTTCTCCTCTTAAAAATGTTAAAAACTTCAACCAGAGCTAAAAGTGCACTTGCTTGCTATTATCACAAGGGCAAGTCAGTGGCAGATTTCCTGACTCAGCCCAGTGTCCTCCCATTTGATGAATCAGTTATTAAAGCTCATTGGCAAGAACTTCACAGTACATTTTCCCCTCCCTGCACCTGCTCCCCTAGTCAAAGGGCAACTGTGAACAAAACCTAGCGGCCTTGTCCCAGCCCAGAGTTTGGACCTTCACAACACGATGCCCTCATCATTGGGACCTGACCGCACCTGAGCAGCAGCTAGGTGGGAGGTAACCGGCTTCACAGATGACCTCGGAAGTGACGTAAAGGAAGCGGAAGGTCTGTCGTGGCTGCCGACTTCCTGTTGTTAGAGGCGGGGGGGTGGGGGGCTGGCCACTTAGTGTGCTGCTGTGTGGGGCGGCCTGGGGCAGCCCGGGAGCGGCTGACCCCCTGCCTACGGGGACAGAAGCCACGAGGTGGCCGCCATGGCGGTGTCGGAGAGTCAGCTCAAGAAAATGGTGTCCAAGGTGAGGCCGCGATGCGTTCGCTACCCGGCGCGCCCACCGCCCCCTTCCGTGCCCGGATGGGCCTGGCCCGACCCAGTCCAACGAGCCTCCCAGGCTGGCTGGGAGCCCCAGTGTGGCCCTCGGGTGCCTTTGCGTCCCCCAGCTCCCAGATCCCTGTCGCCTAGTGCCGGAGCCCGGATCCGGGGCCAGGGAAAGTGGGGGGCGGCGACAGTCAACAAAGGCACGAAGCGGAGGCCGTCCGCCACCTGCCGCCCGCCCTCCTCTCTTTCGATTGAGTTTGGAGCAGTCTGTGGGGCAGTATAGGTTTCGTTTTAGTGTTTATAAATACAAGAGAAGGTTGTATTTAATTCTCCGTCTGGGGGATGACCTCCACGCCAGTGCAGGGATCCGTCAGTCTTCGCCCTTCCCTCTCGGGCCCCCAGAGACGGTCTCTTTCAGTTTTGTATTCCTCACACGGCTCAGTACTTGACGCGTGGGAGATCAGTAACTCTTGGTTGAATAGGCTCGATTTTAAATGAAAACGTCCCGAGAATCCACAATACAAGTACCTCACTACCTCGGGTAAAGTAAACAGAATTGTATTACCATTTCAGGGACTTTGATTTGCTAAGAATAACTGTCTTTTTCTTTAATTCCATTTTTTCAATTACAGTTTACATTCAATATTATTTTGTATTAGTTTCAGGTGCACAGCCCAGTGGTTAGGCAGTTATACATAGTCATTACAATATTGTTGACTGTATTCTCTGTGTTTTAATTTATATCCCCAGGACTATTTTGTGACTCCCAATTTGTACTTTTTAATCCTTTCACCTTCTTCACCCGGTCCCCCAATTCCTCTCACCTCTGACAACCATTAGTCTGTCTGTTTTCTTTATCTATGAGTCTGTGTCTATTTTGTTTGTTCATTTATTTTGTTCTTTGGACTCCACATAAAAATGAAATCATATAGTATTTGTCTTTCTCTGTCTGACTTGTCTTAGCGTAAGGTTCATCCATGTTGTCACAAATGGTAAGATTCCATTCTTTTTTATGGCCAAGTAATACTCCACCGCATATATATATATATGCACTACCTCTTTTTTATCCACTCGGCTCTACTGATAGGCACTTGGGCTGCTTCCATATCTTGGCTATTGTGACTCGTGCTGCAATGAACATAGAGGTGCTTATGTTCTTTCAAATTGGTGTCTTGGGTTTGTTCAGATAAATACCCAGAAGTGGAATTGCTGGGTCATAAGGCAGTTCCATTTTTAATTTTTTAAAGAAACTCCTGTTTTCCACGGTAGCTGCACCAATCTGCACTCCTAAATAGTGCTTTGGGCTCCCTTTCCTCCACATCCTTGCAAACACTTGTCATTTGTGGATTTATTGAAGATAGCATACTGACAGGTGTGACGTGATATCTCGTTGTAGTTTTAATTTGCATTTCTCTGATCATTATAGACATTGAGCATCATTTCATGTCTGTTAGCCATAAGAGTAACTGTCTTTGTATACTTCTTATAACATGAATTTATTTGCTTTGAACTTAAAATCTTCACATTTCGAGACTGGTTTATTTTTTCATTTTTTAAAAAAAGATAGTCATTTTGTCTATTAAAGCTGTGAATTATTTTGATAATTACTTCAAATGTGGCACCTGATACCAGACTGAACTGGATTGTCTCCCTCTACCCCAAATTTACCAAACCTAATTGGAATAAGATATATGTGAAGTGTTTGAGAATTGAATCTTCCGTAGTTCACTGGGTTAGCTTTGGATGGTTGACAAATCAAGAATGATGGAAATTGAAGTAATATAAACAATGTTCAATATTAATAAAACACACTACTATGTACAAGCTTATTTCTTTGAAAAAATTTTTTTCTAGTCCATTGGGTTTGGTTAAGGAGAACGTAACCTCTGTAGAGAGTGACAGTTTTCAAAATATTACTTCTCTTGGTTGTCTAGTATCTTCTAGACTTTTTTATTTTGTTTTGATAAAGTAGTTATCTTTAATTGTAGATAAAGTTTTAGGGAGCCCTAGAAGATTGTGGCCCAGATCTGTGTTGTAACATTTATATATGTCATTTTTTTAAAAACGGTATATTGTTTTACATACCGTGTAACTGAAGAATATCTGTCCATGCCATTTTTGATCTTTAAATTGATAGCATAGTATTAAATATTTATATATAAAGACAAGAATATTGAAATACTGGTTTTGAATTTTAAAAACCATAATTAAGATTCCTAGGCTTCCTCTAGAGAAACGTGTCTCCCTCTCCCTTCCACCTCTTTTAACCCTAAGAACAAAAAGGATGTAGGGAAGAGGTGGGAGAGAGCATTCTACCCATCTTTTGGTTCTTGGACCAATATCTGAAAAACTGAGCCTCCTACAAGTGATGATGTCAGTTCTGAGTATCAGCATCTTTTCTATCCAGCCTATAAATAGATGGTAAGAATAGTAAGTAGGATAATAGAAGATATCTGTGGAATTTTGTCCTCCTCGTAGAGGGGTAGCTTCAGGTGTTATTCTTTCAGTTGGAGGTGGCTCACTGTAGGAATTGCCAGCCAGGACCATAGACACATTCCTAAGGTGATGGTCCTTTATTCTTGATTGTGGGACTGCCACACCCATCATAGCACTTTGGGCCACCTGCCTTGACTTATGTCTTTTTATTTTATTTTATTTTGAGGTATAATTGACATACACTATTACATTTTTATATGGTATTACAGGTAACACCCTTCTCCATCGTTAGTCCATCTTGCTTTACACAAATACCGTTCTACTTCCAATTTTTCACATAGGCAGTTGCCTGTATTCTTGCATAGTGTATCTACAGCATCCCTAGAGGTGGGGTCACAACCGCATAGGTGAAAGAGAGCTGACATCGATGATGCTGTGTGCCTCACACTGTTTTAGGTTTTGGGGATACAAACGTGTACAGACAAAACAACTACACTTTTGGAATTTAAATTCTCATAGAAGGCAATAAAGAATTCAGTAAACACATTAATTAAGTAGTATTTTGGAAGGTAATAAGTGCTTTCGAGAAAAGTAAAGCAGGAAAGGGAAATAGTGGAAGAGCGCTAGGGGGTGAAGATGAGATTGGTTACAATTTTACAGAATAGTAAAGGAAGGCCTTTATGAGAAGATCTATTTGAGCCCACCCTCACCTGAAAGAGGTGAGGAAGCAAATTGGGACAATCTGAAGTAAGGACATTCCAGAAGGAAGGAAAAACAAGTGCAAAAGGCCGGATACAGAAGCTTGTTAGGCGTGATCGAGGAACAATGAAGGAGATGAAGGTGGCTAGTCTGGAGTGAGCAAGGGGGAACATATTGGTAAATAAAGGTGTGGGAGACTTCCGAGGGCTCTCAGGCCTTTGTAAGGACTTTGGCATTTACTTGGAGTTTGATGGGAAGACTAGGAGGCTAAGAGGAGCGGCAGAGTCACCTATAGGTATCTCCAGAAGGCTGTTATGATAATGGTGGCTTGCTGGCATTGTAGCTATGGACGTCGGGAGAAGTGATCAGGTTCTGGATATTTTTGAAGGTAGAACGAACAGGATTTTCACTGTAAATGTAAAGTAAAGAGAGGCAGCAAGTATAGCCAAGGCTTTTGGTTTTGAGCAGCTGGGAAGATGTAGATACGGAAGACTTTAGAACGGGTAGATTTGGGGGAAGATAAGGAATTCAGTTCTGATCATATTAAATTTGATTCCATATCACAGTGTAGATATCAAATTGGCAATTGTACGTACATGTCTGGATTTCAGGAAAGAGGTTCAGATTGGAATTATTAAGTTTGAGACTTATCAGCATATAAAGGGCATTTAAAGCCGTGAGGGAGATCGCCAAAGGAGTGTCTTTAGCTATAGAGGAGCAAGGACTGAGCCCTGGGGCTTAGTAATACTAAGAGGGTAGGAGAAGGGAAAGACCAGCAAAGAGACAGAGAAGGAGCAGCGGGAGCGGGGAGGGGAAAAATTTAGGGGAAAGATCGTAATTTCTAGATCGAACTACTAATTCAGAGGAAATATAGAGGGCATAGGAGCTTATACATACATATTAAACTACACCAAGGTGATGCAATTAGCAGAATGCAAACCATGGGGGCCTCTATAGGACAAATGAACCAATTTTGTCAAATTCCAAGGGGTAAAAATAGAAATGGGCCCTTCACCTGAAGAGTAGATAAACTGTGATATATTTAATAATAATGGCATATTAGCCATAAAAGGAATGAAGTATTGATACATACTAGCATGTGGATGTACCTTAAAAACATGCTAAATAAAAAAAGCTACTCATAAATGGCCCCATAGTACATTATTCCATTTATATGACATGTCTGGAATAAGCAAATCAATAGAAACAAAATTGATTGGCAGTTTTCTAGGGTGAATGGCTGTGCGAGGCAGGTGAGGAGGGGGTAATTGCTAAAGGGTATAAGTTTCTTTTGGGGTTGATAAAAATGTTCTAAAATTGATTGTGGAGTTAGTTGCACAACTCTACTGAAAACTTCATATAATTCACTTTAAATTTGTGAATTATATCTCAATAAAGCTGTTACCAAAAAAATGGAATAGAGAGAGAATTTATAGATTAAAAGAGCTCTAAAAGACATTTTAACAAATTACAATGTGTGGGTTTTATTTGGATTTTAATTCAAATTAAGGGGGGGGGAAACATGACATGGATGAACCTTGAGGATATCTTGCTAAGTGAAAAAAGTCAGACAGAGATGTTATGAACCGTATGATTTCACTTGTGTGTGGGATATAAAACTGAAAGCAATAAATGAATAAAAAGAAAAACAAACAAAAACTCATAGGCAGCCCTTGCTGGTGTGGCTCAGTTGGTTGGAGTGTCCTCCTGTACCCCCAGATGTTGGGGTTTAGATTCCCAGTCAGGGCACATGCCTAGGTTGTGGGATCGATCCCTGGTGGAGGCGCGTATGGGAGGCAACCAGTCCGTGTTTCTCATCTCTCTCACCCCCTTCCCCACCTCTGCTTCTCTTCTCCCACCTCTGCCTCTCTCTCTCTCCCCACCTCTCTCTCTCCCCCTTCTTCTGTCGCTAAAATCAATAAACATTTTTAAAAAAATTTTTTAAAACCTCATAGACACAGAAAACCAAATGGTGGTTACCAGAGGGAAGCGTGGGTTGGGGGGAAGGTAGTAAAGGGCAAGGATATCAAATAGATGGTGATGGGAGGTGATGTGACTTTGGGTGCTGGGCACATAGTGCAATATACACATCATGCATCATAGAAGTATTCACTTGAAACCTTTATAATCTTATTAACCAATGATACCCCAATGAGTTTAATTTTTAAAAAGGGGGAAAAAAGACACGAGACCACATATTTGATAATATTAAGGAAATGGTGATTATTTTAGTATAATAATAGTATTGTGGGGTTGTTTTTTAATGTAAAGATTTGTTTATTTCTACTGGGGGAAGGAAGAGGATAAATAGAACAGTTTCTGATTTGCTTTCCACTGTATATACACATACCCACATGCATGCATAAACATATACACACCAGAAATACCCCAAGCCAAATTAAAAACCCAAAAATCAAAACACCCTCAAACTGCACCAATACTTTGTATTTTGACCAAAAGAGGAGACCCTGGGAGGACATGCAAAATCAAATGACTGAAAAATGCTGAACAAACAGTATTATTAATGTACAAAATAAATTACTGACCTACTAACAGTTGATGTCCTCCATGCCTGTAAAACTTTGGAACCACACAGCTAATTTGTTAAATCTAGTCCATGCCAGCGTCCAAAAACCAGAAAAGATTTTTAGTTAGCTTCATTCTTTGATGCTTCATCAGAATTTCCTACAAGACCTGGGACATCAACCTCCTCCTCATTAATGTCTTCTGGTTTTGGCGATTTGCTATCCAACACCTGCTCCGGGAACTGTTCACCTAACTCCCCAAGATTTGTTAAGCTGTCAGCACGAAGCTGACTCAATATTCCAGAAAGCATTTCTGTCATTGGTTTGGCTTCTGCACGAGTAGTAATTGCAAAGGTGTTAGTGGAATGGAACGCTTGGACTTTGTGACTGCTGAAATGAGTGACTGTCCCGTCATCTTTAATTATGTTTATCTCTTCAATACCAACTATATTATTCACAGCCAGTCTTTTCAGAGAACTCTGAAGTTTTTTGTCATCAGCCGTAGCTATTCTCTGTACCACCTTCTTTCTGCAAGCTGTACCCTTGCCCCTATCCCGGCCTGAGCCCGAAGTCTGGCTACCTTTTGATTTATGCTGTTGGTAGACCCAAAGCAGGGAGGGTCCTCCAACACCAGCACACAGGAAGAGCAAGATGGCTGCCTCAGTGTGTGGGTTTCTAAAGTTCTTTTTAAGAAATATACTAAAATCTTTATGGGCAATGGGATATGATGTTATGACTTGTTTCCAAATAATATTGGAGGAAGGAAAGATGAATGAGATTATAGATTAAAGGAGATTGGCTATTATTGTTGAAGCTGGATGTAGGATGACAGAGTTCATTATACTATTTTGTCTACTTGTGGATGTTTAAAATATTCCCTAATTTAAAAAGGTTTAAAAAGAGAGAATAGAACCCTGACTAGTGTGGCTCAGCTGGCTGGGCATCATCCCGCAAATTGAAAGGTCACCAGTTCAATTCTCATCTTTAATTAATGTTAATGACTAGTCAGAACATTTATACTTTTAAAGTGCTATTAAGGAAATAAGATTTTAAGATTAACCCAGCAATAAAATAGGTGCATTGGTTTTAAACTAAATTCTTATGTGATTTTGCTTTTCAGTACAAATACAGAGACCTAACTGTACGTGAAACTATCAATGTTATTACGTTATACAAAGATCTCAAACCTGTATTGGATTCATATGGTGAGTTTACATAATAAAATACCAATACTGTACTGTGAATTTACTCCTTTTGTTAATGATTGTAGATTTCCCATTTTCCTTTTAAGATTGTTGTTGGTTTTTCCCTTGTAGAACTAAAACTTCACCTAATATAAGTATTGGGGGAATAGAAAATTACAAGATCTAATTACAACATCTATATTTGTGTAGTTGTTACAAGTTTTTAAAAAGTACTCTAACATAGAGCTATGCAAATTTAGACCTAAAGGGGACGTTAAAGGTAGTTTAATTCATCATCTCCCAAAGTATTATCTGTAGTTGTAAAGAATGTTACTGGGGATGGGGTTGGATTCTGTTGATAAATTTGAGCAATTGCAGATTAAACAAAATTCAGTGGCTTCTTTGCAGCCATGCTGCGGTGTTTCTCAGGGCATCCAGTATGCTAGAAAGTTATACCTCAACAGCAGGGAAGACGATACACTATAGCGTAGTGTATCCTAAAGTTAAATACCTCCCCACGCCCCCAGCATTTCTTTATAGTCTTAGACATTTAGCAGAACTATATGCTGTTATTTTATAGATAAGGGAAATATTTTTAAACTATGATCCTTAATCCTGTAGAGTGTGTAGGTGACAGTTCATTATTGAGACAAAATAAACCTCGGTTTTAAGTAAGAAATGACAATACCTAAAGTTATTCTTATTTTTAAAGTAGTCTTTTTGTCTCCACACCTGATGTGCCAGGGCCAAGAGCGCCTGTCCATGATGAGGCCCGTGGCACTGAGGACAAGCAGCTGAATTGTGTGGCCGGGGCCCTCACTCTAAGCTCCACTTACCCCTAGGGCTTTGAAAACATCAGGCCCTTGTGAGGAGGGGTGGGAGGCAACAGAGGGACTCTCAGCCCTGGGTTTCCTGCACAGCAAAGACAGGAACCAGAAGTTCTCTTCCAGACGTAGGGCACAGTTCTACCTCATGTCCACGTGCTGTGCTGTGGTATTTAGAGCCCTAAAAAAACTCACATTACCAAAACTAGTTTACTTAAAAATGGCTTCAGTGGGGGAGAAAGTGACTGGAGCTAGAATTTTTCTGCAATAGGTTTTACTGCATGCTAAAAAAAATATATATAAATAAGTTTGTTGAGTAAAAGGATTCCAATATAACTGAAAAAAATCTCACATAGCTTTATATGGCCAAATCACATCTAAACCATTGCTGTCAACATGCTTTTAGAGTAAATGAAGTCATAAATTTAAATAAGATGGGATTTTCTTAAAGCACAAAATTGGAATAATTTATAACACAGTTTATAATTGTCAATAGTAAGAAAAAGAACTGAGGTCAACAGTACTGTGTTCTTGTGCTTCACATTACAGCCTTTTCCCTGTGTGATACAGTGTTAATTCCAAATCATTATTACAAATAATAGCAGTCCATGTAATACAAATCATGTGTGCCCTAATTAATCAGTTGATTATAGTTAGAAAAACTTGCGTGATATGGTATGAGAATACTTGTATTAAAAATTTGTATATATTTGATTGTGAAAACTTTTTTCTTTTTAAAAACAGTGGTTTAATGCTATATTAGGACTGAGAATGATAGTAAATGAGGATAAACATATGGGAAATCTAAAATTTTATGATACTAGATTAACTTTAAGTATGGTATCATTGGATAGTTACTTTTTAAGTAATTTTATAATCATGTTAGTTGGGGAAACAGGTCTTACGTTTACTGGGATTGTAGCACTCAACATCCATTTTCCGAAGTAATTCAAAGCATCTTTTCTTTACCCATTCAAAAACTGATCCCACCGAGTGACTCAACAAAAGACACTCTGTTATTGGGGGGAAAGGATGATACATTTACAAGTTAACCTGTTTCAAGGGTAATGATGAGTTTTAACCAGCGTTTCTGAAAGAATAACTTAATGGGAACATCTATAAAAATGCTCATTTTTTTAAAATCATTGTTCTTTCCTTTCAGTCTTTAATGATGGCAGTTCCAGGGAACTAATGAACCTCACTGGAACAATTCCTGTGCCTTATAGAGGTAAGTGTCTTATGTAGTTTATGTTTCCAGTATAGATGCATTTTGATGCACACAGTATGTTGCCAAAGAGTTATAAGTAAATTAAGCCTGCTTTCTCATTATTTTCATGGTGATACAGAGATTCTAACTTATATTGAAATTGAACTTTATTTGGAAGCAGCACCTAATATTTTCAGCTTTTTTCCCCCTCCTACCAACGTATAAGTGCCGCCTCCTGTGGGAAGGGTTTGCAGTTTCATAGATTCATAGAATTTTAGCACTGGAAAAGGACCTTACGTGCCTCCTAATTCAGCTTCCTACTGTATTCAGACTTTCCTGACAATGGGAAGCTATACAGTATAGTGGCTGAGACAGAGACTTTAAAGTCAGGGTAGAGTAAGGTTTCAGTCTCACTGTCTGTAGTCTATCAGGTTTGTGATCATGGGCATCTATAACATTGGGATAATAGTATCTAACTCAAAAAAGAACTTGTATGTAAAGGACTTAGCGCAGAGTCTAGTATATAATAAATGCATATCAAAAGTAACTATTACTTAAAATTGCAGTGTTGGTGATAATTTGATGATGGATAATTACATCTTTGTTAGCCAGTTAGCCACCCTCTGCTGGAATACTTATAGTGATAAGGGAACATTCAGTTTCATAAAAACTGTTCTGTTTTTGGGCAACTCTGTGAATTATTCCTTGTGACTTACTAAGACCTGTGTCTCTGTAATTTAACCATTAATTTTATATAGCACTGGCTATGCATGAGGCATAGGTGTTACAGGCTATGTATAAAAAGATAAAGGATGTACTACCTCTGGAAGAACTTACACAGATAGGGGAAACAGAGGAAATAAATAGATATTTATAATATTCTGTAACTATAGAATGATAAAATATAAGGGTGCTGTGAGATTACCAAGAAGACTAATACCATGTCAGAAGGTAATGGGGGAGTTGACATTTGAACTTGGTATTAAAGGATTAATAATAGAATGGACACTTCAGACAGGGAGGGAAAAACACTTGAATATCAACACTGAATAAAGCAAGTATAATAAGATTATGGAGGACTGAATAAAATTCAGGATAACTGGTTTTGCCTTTAGGAGGTAAACTCTGGTTAGAGAAATGTAATGGGGGAAAGAGAAAGGCAGGAAACTATGGTAAAAATAATTAAAGATATTTGCTTCCTCTACTATATATATAAATTTTATCTAAATCCTTCTTTGCTCCCTCACCATTTTTCAAATGGCATAGTTCTTAAGCCCAAAGAATTCTGGTTGGTGGAAATAAACTGCTGTTTTCTGTATTAGGGTATATTCTGTTAGAGTTCTTTTTTAATTGTATAGTTTTGGGTAAAAAGTAAACCCAAGTTTCCACAACTTTGTAATTTCCTTACTTAAAATTTAATGCCTGTATTTATAGGAAGTGAAACTGTTTCTAAGAGGAAAAGTATCTGAATTTATGTTAGGTGATTCAAATGGTTTTTTGGGACAGTGGCTTTGAGCTTAGTAAGAAAAGGCTGTGTTCACTGTATTAACTCTGTTAGATCCTTCGAAACACTCTTCAGTTTGACTATATATAGTCAAATTTCTCAACTGAGAGAGATTTCTTTTTCATAAAACAGAAAGGAGATCACGTCATTGATTTTACTGATTGAAAAAGTATCACTGAAAATACCATATGCATTGATGAAGTTGTAGCCACCATCAGCACCTGTTTGACAGTTGGATTGGCTCTGGCAAAGGAATTATATCACTTTCTGATAGGCCACCACAATCCATGGTCTTCCCTGTATAACCCTTCCCAGTGAAGCTTATTAACTGAAATGACAAGAGTCAAGTAGCAAAGAATGGATTGGGTTGAAAGATATTTCATGAAGAATGCTCTAATAGCTGCAAGCACACACTAGCAGAGTAGTGATCAGTTAACTCCTTAATCCTGCTGGTGTATTTTACAAACTGAAAATTTGAGAAACTGATCTTAAACTTGAAATATTAAAGTATTTGTTGTGATTTTTTAAAAGTGTTGCTTACTTTAGTTCTCTCTTGCTTACCTACTAAGCCATATTGAAAAATAATAAAAATAGTAACTGAAGTTTCTTTCTCTCTCAGGTAATGTATATAATATTCCAATATGCCTGTGGCTGCTGGACACATACCCATATAATCCCCCTATCTGTTTTGTTAAGCCTACTAGTTCAATGACTATTAAAACAGGAAAGCATGTCGATGCAAATGGGAAGATATATCTTCCTTATCTACATGAATGGAAACATGTAAGTATTAACAATGTTCTGTGAATTTCTTGTATTTTATATATTTTGTTCACTACCATCTAACTTTTTATTAACACTCCAAGAGGGTCCCAAGGAGGAGACAAGGTCATATAAGATCACTTATTACTAAGCTGGGTAATTGAAAAAGGCTATCCAAAACGAGTACAGTCATGAGCTGTATGACAACATTTTGGCCAACAACAGACTGTATATATGATAGTGGTCATGTAAGATTGTAATGGAGCTGTAAAATTCCTATTGCCTGGTGATGTTGTGGCTGTCCTAACATTATAGCGCAATATATTCCCTGTGTGTTTGTAGTCATACTGGTATAAACATACCTACTACACTGCCAGTCATATAAAAATACAGCACATAGAATCAAAGTAGTAGGCTGTACGATCTAGGGTTGTGTAAGTGCACTCCATGATATTTACGTGATGATGAAATTACCTAACAACCCATTTCTCAGAATGTATC